TCCCAGGCTTAGCCGAAGCAAATAGCAGTGTTAAGTTCAGCTGTATGGAAATAGGCGTCAAATACAATTTATTGCTGAGTAATTTTATTAGTTATAAGCGCACATCAGCTAACATCATAACACAGCGAGCTGGGAAATGAGAACAGGCTGCGGAGGAGCTGTGGAACGAGGATGGGTTGAATATACCTGAATGGAATGACGAGCGGAAGTTGAAAATAACCCAATGGAGCAGGTATATATGTATATATATATAGATGTGCCTATATATATATATATATATATTATTTTGGTACAAAGAAATAAAACAACCGAAAAAATAAGACACTTTTGAAAATGGACGATCATAATGATGATGACGGAGCAGCCGAAGCAGACGATGATATGGCACAAAGTGCGCGAATTCGAATGAATAGATATACAGCTAAAGATACAGCTATGACTAGGGCAACGGCTACAGATACAGATAGAGATACAGATACAGATACAGATACATGCGCATGCATATGCTGTCAACGCAACGTTGATTATCGCTACCGTGCGGGGGCGACGGCGGCAGACAAATTGCCATTTACACCACTTACAACAGCAGCAGCAGCAGCAACAGCAGCGACGACAACGGCGCCGACAAGTGCCAGCTACAGATACAGATACAATCAGCTACAGCAACAGCAACAGAAACAGCAACAGCTATAGCAATTGCAAGCACAACATATGTAACTAGAGTTGTCTCGCTCTAACGCAAGTGCGGCAATTGCGCGTTTGACTTGCGCTTGGCATGGGGCGTGGCCTTGTCTAGGGCACACCCCTTTGCCAATGGCAGACCATAGCATAGATACAGTTACATATACACGCACACACACACACATACACATGTATATTTATGTATGTTGTGTGCTGGTGTGTGCGCGTGTTACAGTTACATTGTGGCAAACAGCAATTGTTGTTGTTGCTGGCGCAGATTTTTTGAGAAGCTGTCGTTGACGTTTTGAATAAATTTTAATTGAATTCGCACAATGAAACTGTTTACTTAACCTGCCACTTTACAAGATGAGCTTCATTCACGCACACACACACACGCGTACGCACTCACATGTAAACCAACATACTTGGTGCATTTACAGCTGAAAAGGCAAGCGTATATAGCATATATACATGTGCGGGTGTGTGCGTGTGTATCTGTTGGTTTAATTACAACAAACGCGTCAGATTTTGTGTTAACACTCGTTAAATATGCAACAGCAAATGAAGCTTGTCTTAAGTTCACATCAGGCTAATGAGTCGCATATGCTCTACGCTAATTAATATTATTAAAATTGTGGAATTACTCAGTATATATACAGCTGTGTTCATGAAAATAGTAGTGCCACTGAGCACTAAACGTTGAACAACACAATTTGTTGATTAACAAACAATTTGAAACGAATATTCAGATTAACACAATTTGTTAATAAATTAAATTTTTGATATAATTTTTTTTTGGCTTATGTGCAGCACTACTATTTTTATGAACAAAACTGTATGTACATATTAGATGTATGCAGTGTATGCATATGTATGTGTGCTTGTATCTATGTGTGCTATATAAGTACAAATTGCACAAATTACATTTGCGAGTGCAGCAATTTGGGCCGCTTTTAACTGTTAATTGTTTATGCCGGTATCAAGGTGTTAATTAGAAGAGGCTTACAATTACATGCAATTAAACGAAAGTTGCATTTTAGTTGCATTATGTAGCGTTTTAGCTTAAGTTGCGTGATATTTAGATATTATTACTTATATTATTATTATTATTATATATTATATATTATTATTATATATTACTATTAGCGTCAATATTCAGGTCTTGGTGCTGCTTCTCTGCATATACTACTTCCATACTTATAACGTGAACAATCGTATTCTGTTGTCCTATTGTTTAAGTATTCATACTGATGAATCTCTGATGAATCAATATTCTGTGGATCAGTGATCCATGCTCTGCTATAATAGCGATCTAAGGTCCTTTATTCAAGCAGTCCTTCTTCACTGCAAAGGAAAGCATTTAAAAACATTTCTTAAAACATATAAGTATTTAATAAAATTGAAAAATTATTTTAAAATATGAGCTGAATTCAAATTTTGCTGAAAAAAACATTCACAAAATAAATAATTGCATATTTAGATATAATTTGAAATTTACTTTAGTTACTTCTTATTCTGTTACTTCAAATTCCTGTTTCTTGTTAGCTGATCCATTGATTGACAATCAGCCGTTCGCTTTAATGCAACACTGACTGTTTGATTAACTAACTGAGTGACTGACTGAATGATTAATAAACTCACTAATTACTGTGACTGCATAATATATTGACTGATTTATTGACTGACTGACAGACAGATTGATTGACGCAGCAGCATAAATTAATGAGAATGCGACTAATTGCAGATAAATTCTACTCAGATAAGTTTAGTTATTTATCGAAAACAGTATTTATTGAAAGAGTAATATTAATATTTTTATAAACATTTTTAAGTTTATATTTATATTTATTTTATTTGAATTTATATTATTTAATTTACATTGTACATATTTTGCTTGTTTTTTTTAAATAATAAAAAAAAACTTTTTTAATTCAAATAAATTTTGCTTTAATAAATATAATTTATAGCAAATCAATAAGCACTATATTGTTTTTCTATAAAATGAATTCCAAAATATTTTTTTAAATATTTAAAAAAAATTAAATTAATTTATATTTTAAAAAAATATTTTATGGCAAATCAATAAGCACTATATTGTTTTGCTATAAATTCCAAAATATTTTTTTTAAATATTTTTGAAAAATCATTTTGGAATTAATTTTATAGCAAAACAATATAGTGCTTATTGATTTGCTATAAAATATTTTCTTAAATATAAAGTTTTATATAAATAAAAAATTATATAAATTTGTATTTAGAACTTAATTTTATATATTAATATATTTATTATATATGTATAATTTATTTTATATTTATAATTTATTATATGAACTGAACTTTTTAGTTTTAGATACAATTTTATATTTTCTTTGATACATCTTTAATCCTTTGACCCATTTAAGCTCCTAGCAAATATATATATATCTGTTCTTTATATAGATTTTCTCAACTTCTTCTAAGCAAAAGCCTTTGTCATAGATAATCTATAATAAACAGCTTCCTTGGCTTTGGCCTTTGGCCTTTAAGTTCTCCGTTGCAGCTCTGGCTTTTCCTGTGACATTCGGCCCCATTGCCCGTCGCCCACTGCCCTCGCCCCACTCCATTGCGCTGCTTCCGTTAGCTTCGAATCACGTGTCAGGTAAAATTGCGGGATGCGCAACACTCCTTCATTAAGTTAATAACAGCTTCTCTCTTTCGACAGAGTACAAAGTGAAATTGCAAAAATCCGTTTCACACACATTTTTTCTTCTTCTCGCAGTGGCGCCTTCTGCGTTGCCCTATTCCTTAACAGCCAACCACCACCCCCTCTCTGTTGCTCTCTCTCTCTCTCTGGGCGCTTGCCTTTTGATGCTGCAACGGGTTTTGTTTGGTTTTGAATTTCAGCAGAGTGAGAGAGGCCTTGCTTGTCAGATTGTGTTTTACATCTTGATTATCTTCCGTTTGTTTGTGCTACATAAACACTCACCCATACACACACACGCGCTGAGTTGATAAACCAGGCCAACCCCCACAGCGAGTGGGCTTTAAATGTAAAATATTTCTATTGAAATCCATTCAAGGATAAGAAGTCAATCAGTCTACAAAGTGCAAAGGATTTTGCACTTTCTCAAATGTAAATTCAAATTCTGTACAAATCCTCGGCACAGTGGGACAAAAATAATAATTGTTTAAAAATTTTATTTTTTTATTTATTTTACGTAATATGCATATATATGTAGAAGGCAAAAATATATCTACTTGTGGCACCCTGTACACGTCACATACCGTATGAAGATTACTAAACTTCATATATATATTTTTCGGACATATGACTAGTTAAATAGACGTTGACTTGAGCACCCTGTATGTAAATAAACTGCTAAAATTGTATATTATATATTGTATACTATAAATAGTATGTTATATGTTATATATTATATATTATATATTATATATTATATATTATATATTATATATTATATATTATATATTATATATTATATATTATATATTATATATTATATATTATATATTATATATTATATATTATATATTATATATTATATATTATATATTATTCTAAAAGATTGTGGCACACCCTGTGTAAGCTATACTATACCCTGTATACACCCTATACTATCGTCTTATACACACTCAATTGAATACTACACTACATGGAATACATACACATACATAATTCTTATATTTTTTGTTTCCATTTCATTCCGTTAGCTGACCAAAATGCTCCACAGTGCAGCGCCTTGTTCCATTCCATTGTGTTGCGCTTGAGCCAACCACAAGCCAAGCTGCCGAGCAGCTGGCAAGCCCCGACTTAAACTTAATCCATCAGCCACCCCAAGACGTTCTAGCAGAAGGCAACAAGCTTGCAAATTGAAACTGTCAATCCTCCATCTCCATCGCCATCTCCATCTCTCCTCCTTTCAGTGGCAATCGCGAAGGCGTCTGCTGGCACGTGGCGACACGGCAAGGGTCTGGACACAAAGAAACCAGCTGTAGCTGGAGCATAAGCCTCGACACCATCGCCATCACCTATCCATTCTTCAATTACCCTTTCGACTGGGACGACGGTCACATTATCGTAATCGCATCCTAATTGCGAGAAAATTACGCCCACGTGCGGCCTGTAACCTGATCAGCATCAAAGGAGTTGACAAAACGCCGTCCCAACGTCGCAAGCCAAACAAAGCAAATCGATACATTTTCAAAATGCTTGTGTAAATGCGAAACGCGACTGAATATGCATAATTAGGATATAGCTGGCTAAAGACCTCGAAGAACATGACCATAAAATAATAAAATATATCGATTATCGTTATTTATTTATATTTTGATATAGATTAGACATATAAATATCGATATTTATTGCGTACTGAACATGACATATGTTTAATTCTCAATTCATCGTATATCGCTTACTCAACACGTCTGTTATGGACCGATTTAACCCTCAATTTATACGGTATTGGCTTCAGCTTTATATAGATGTGGCTAATTTTCCTAAAGTCGAAATAACTTATAACTGATGGAGTATTATCAGGTTAAACTGATTAGAACGTATTAATCAAAAAATTGATTAATTACAAAATTATAAATTAAATACAAATTTAAGCCTGAGCTTTTACAATTTCTGGAATAGTACATACTTAATAAATATCTATGTCATTGGCTCTGGCTTTTCCTTGGCGACGAGGAAACGCCACAAACAACCGACTGCACAAGCGGCAATTAAATGGGCTACGAAGTAAGGCCACAAAATTTCCCATTTCCCGTTCATAAGAACGGCCACAAAAGTACGGAAGAAATTGAGATGGCATCCAGAAATTGAATTCTACAATTTGAAAAAAAAACGTAATAGTATTTAAAAAGGATTCTATCTACTTTGGTAGTAGAAGACATAAGACATATATACACAGCATTAATAATAAGCAAATAAGTATAAGAGTGTGTGAGTATCGAATCAAGTGCAAATCTGTTATGATCTGCGATAGATCGAATAGCATACGATAGATCGAATCGTATCCTTCAACTCGCACATCACCAAGCTTATTTGAATAAGATATTTTCAATACGAACCGTTGCGAAAGACAAAGCTGCAATTATGAATCCGACGCGAAGGGGCAGAGTATCGTACGCGTTCTCACTGCGCGTATCCCATGCTGCGCAATAGGTAAATAACAGAAATATTGTAGCAAACAGCTCGACGCCGAATATTTTCATTTCGCTGGATCCGTACGAGAGACATAAGTTCGTGGTCGACGGTGCAACGGCAAAGGACAATGCGATGCCAATGAAGGCGCCAATAAACTGTGCCAGCATATAGAAGAGCATCATTTTCCACTCCATAACTCCAACAATTGCCGCTGTACCACTGACAGCCGGATTCAGGTGGGCGCCACTCAGAAACGCAAAAATTTGGACTGCTGTTAAATATGCAAATCCCCAGACAATGGCTGGCGCTGTGTTATCTTGAATAGTAATAATAGTTCCAGTGGTAAATAAGGAACATCCTAGTGTTATGGCAATTGCAGTTCCAGTACACTCAGCAAATAGCTTCTTCGCCACGTCTTTGTCGAACTTAAAATTTCCCATAATTTTAATTTATACAGGCAACTAAACTGAAAAATGTTATAACAAATAATATAGAGAACTCTGGCTTCAATGAGCACATGAATTTAACTGTGCATAACTCAAAGTTTTGTGGAGCATAAATCAACAATAGCCTACTTAAAATGTAATCAAGGACAACATATTTCAAATGGGCATGTACTGTAAACATGCAATGGACGTTAGACGCGGCTTTTGTTTTAGTTCCCTGTAAGATTCCATTTCCGTTTAGCGGAAAACGTTTTATTCATTGGTTACAAGTGCCAAATGAGTAATTTGTGAGAACTCAACTGCAGGTATCGGCAAATTTTGTTTGGTCGATAATCGTTGAGACTATCGAATTTAAATTTTTGTAACGTTTGCGGTTAACATATCAATTCATCGGGTTATGTACTCATCTCTAACTTCTAAAAATATTCTACTCATTTTGCCACTGCAAGGAAAAATATATTTTTAATATAAAAAGAGGCATTAACTTATTTCTACCTCTGGATGCTCTATGCAAGTCACGGACGTTTTTGGACATAGAAATCTATGCATGAAAGAAGCTAATAAATTATCAAAATAATTATCTTACAGTGCCATAATGAGCATAACATTGATACGAAATGGAGCTAACCATAACTCGACAAGCTGTTAAACCAACCGCCAATATGAATTTAATTCAAATGTTTGCAGTTCCAAGTTTTTTGACTTGTATTATTCAACCCATACTATTGGATTTTTATTTAAATGATATAAAAGTAGTCCCCAATCAAAACAATATTATTACGTGATTACAGACTTGGGTTTTTAATTAAATACTTGGTTTAACAGTAATTTTTTTATAGGCGTAGATACATATGCTAAGTATAGTAGACATACGCTCACACGCGTTATACATAATGTAGGTTTATATAATAGAATTTATACATAGTATTACACATAAAATTATCATGTATGTGAGCGAGTAGCTCGCCACATATATATATTCTAGTTGCACAGCAAGAGGTAAATATGTTTGCGAACGTGCCACATGAGATTTTGGCCACACTTGGGTTAACATCCTTGCCAAAAATATAAGTAGATTGTATAACATGTTTACCGTACGATGCGATGTGATGGGATGCGATGCGATGATACATGGCCAAAGATTACAATGTGCATGAGAATGAAGAAAGTTATAATGGATGAATAATTACATTGTTTAAATGTTTTCGAACTGGCTTTTGGCCTTTCAGCTAACAGTTGGAAACCCTTACAGCATGTGTTTATACAAATACAAATCATATACATATCCATATACAAATACATATACATAAATAAAGGTTACAATTAGATGGGGTTGGTCGCCTCATGGAGTCGGCCTACTCAGTCCGAACAGCTGCTTGGGCTTGACTTGGAATGTGGGCAGCTGCCACAGTCCGTGCGGAAGGAACGACGATGGTGTGAGGCGGGCGTTTGATTTCTTTTACAGAGTAGGCTTAATTTATATGGTTTCCATAACATTTAATTTAGACGTTAATTTTGCGCCTTACATTCTAATTTAAAATGTTAACATTTAATTATATATAGTATTACTTTGTTTTTTTTTTTAATTTTATACAGTTTTGTTGTTATATATATATAAATATATATATATAAATATATATATATAAATATACATATATATATATATATATTATATATATATATTATATATATATATTTCTCGCTTGCGTCGGTTTGTTTGTTGATTGTTTGCTGTAAGGTGTTTTTTTTTGTATTATATATTATTTAACTAATTCATTGTTGCCCAGTGACATGTTATTGGGTTCACTTGCATTTTTTTGCTCTCAAAGTGCACTGCTTGGTATCGGATGTACGTATGTGTATGTATGTATGTACGATTGTTTTAGAAATAACAATGTGGTAATATGTCACAGCTAATTTACACCTAACGTGCCTAGGCCTTGAAATGCAGTTCCAAATTGTTGTTGCTTTTTGATAAACTATTATTGATTTGTTGTTAACTACTTGAATATTGTTGTTCCTGTTATTGTTGTTAGATGAAGAGTTGATTCGCTGTTGTTGGCAATGTCCTTGCAGGCAGGCAGGAAGGCAGGCAGGCAACAAATTGGATTCTTTCACTGTTTTTCTCCTTTTTTACTTTGCTTTGTTTATGTTTGTGATGTGCTGTTGAGTTTAGTTTTTGTGTATGCGCAATGCAAGCAGCAGGCAGTAGTCATAAATCGCAACGCTAACTAAACAGAATCATCTGCAAGTAAATAGAGAGCAATTTATTTATACAGATGCGATAAGTTGAATATAGCCAAAGAGCACGCATACGCACCGTGGTACCACCATTTAGTCTTTTTGGGATTTTTGTTGCATGTCTTCACGTAGAGCGTATTGTCTGGCGGTCGCTTCTTCTCGCGGCAGCTGCTCAACATGGAGGCTATGCTAAGGCACACCGACTGCACCGACAGCGCCGGCGACCAGTCCTCGGTCAATATGGATAAGCAGATGTGACCATTGCTATAGACATGCGGATGCACAGGTATATTGCTCCCAATGAATGTTACCTGACGGCAGGAGAAAGACGTTAATGGAAACAAATATATATATTTATATATGGCAGACTTACCTCTGGCGAATCAAAGGGATATTTATTGTTGAATTTAAACAGCAGCTGAAAGTCTTCGCCCTCATAAAGCGTGCCTTCGAAACCCTTGATGTTTATTTTCCATCTGCAATCAAGACAAACAGCTGTATTACTAACTAGCTCGTAAAAACCAGCAGAAATATATATATATACGAAAATACAATTGAGCGCATTGTTGAAATGCGCTAAATTGCCAAATTAAGTTAACCAGTTTATGCTCTTTGGTTAACTGAACTTGGCCTAGTTGCGGAATTCGGAATTTGGCTTCTGCTGTGCGCATGGAACTCACTCTGATAAATTTTGCTGTACGCTTTCGGTGTCAACAGTAACGCCCGGCGGCGGCTCCTTGATCAGGGACATCAGTTCTTTATGCAAACGACGCTGTAAGCAAAAGAAATGAAAGTTTTAGCTTAGTTTGGCAAGTGCAACGGTGAACACGCCCTCAGTTTACAACTCACTCAAACGCCCTCCCTCGCGCTCTCACTCATGCCCTTTAACGCTGTTGATATTGCGTGCTTTGTTGGCCATTATATATAGCATATAGGTATGCAGACTGTTATCGCTTCCTTTCGGAAAACAAATACTATCTACAGACTGCATGTGTGTGTGTGTCTATATACCACTTTATAGATAAGATACAAAATAGCTCGTGCAATGCTTTTTAGCTGACTTCAAACTGTCGATTGTTTAGCTGTTTTGCACTTCTGCACAAATTATTTCTATTTTTCGTACAATTATCAGCCATAAATATTTATATGATATCGGTTCGTCGATAAGAGATAAGCGCCTGGTATTAAAACGCTGAGTACAGCTGTTCAACGAAGTCTGACAAAGGAAATTAATTATTATTATCATCACAAGACCAGGGAATATTTGAGGAGGCTTTAACTATGTATGTTAACTAAATTTCGCCAATGTTACAAACTGTCTATGAACTGGGCATACCCTACACAGCTATATATTTTAGGCCAAAAGACTCATAACCTTCGTTTCCGGAAAACTCTAATGACGCAACTTGGGCAATGGTTCTAGCTAATGGATTATAAAACTAAACATATATATATATATATATATCTGATGCAGAAATTCCCTTGATTACACGCAGCTGTTTCCGCGATAAACTGTATTTGGCACACACGAAAAAGAAAAAGTTTCAATATGAAAAATTTGTCATGGGCAAAAAAAAAAAACTTTTGAACTTTTATGAAAGTGTAAATGCCTCAGTAAGACCATAATTCCATTTAGATACGGTGCTAAATACGCGATAAGTCGGCTCAAGGCCAAGGGGCGCAAAGTTCGCCCAGCCAGTGTACTTGCCTCCCAGCGTGAATTGTCCAGCAGCAGTGGCTTGCCACATTTGGAGACGGCCGGCTTTTGGGGCTCCTTCGGCTCGTTGATGATCTCCGATTTGGGAATTTTGTCTTTGGTTTTCTTGAACAGCTTTAGCATTTCGATTATTGTTAACACAGTCTCGACTAGGATCGCACTATATTAAAGTTATTGGAAGACGAGTTTTTGATAGTTTTTCTAGCCTTGTTTTATATTTTCGGGTATCTGATTGTTTCGTAGCACCGCACGCAATGTTGCTGTGTTTAGACTAAACTCTCAAATGTGATTTCGTTTCTCGCTTTTTCAATAGCCAACTTTGTTACGTTCGCCCAGGGCCCAGCACAATTTATAAACGCACTCAGTCAGCAGCAGTAGCCGCATTTTAGCCAACAATTTTAATTTCAATTTCAATTTCAATTTCACTAAATTCGCAACGACAGCTACAGCTAAATGCGCCAACGTTTCGTCGCAGACTGTGGCAAAAGCGTCGAGAAATTTACTCAAAAGCAATGCGAGCGAAGCAACAGAAACAACTCACGGCCCAACCCGATTCCCCAACCCAACCCAACCCCACCCGACGACCCGCCCCAAGCAGCAGTTCGAGACGAGGCGTCGACAGCGCCAGCTATGCCGGCAGAGCTTGTCATCGTCATCGTCAACGTCAACGTGCCTCAGTATGCGTAGTGCATGTTCCTGATACCCTATCCACACAGCCACAAAGGTATGCCAAGTGCAGGACTACCTCATAGGTTGAAACTTTGACTTTTTATCTATTATAATATTTTATTTTTAATATTTTATTTTTAATTTTTTATTTTTCATTTTTAATATTATATTTTATTTTTAATTTTTTATTTTTTATTTTTAATATTGTATATTTTTAATTATTGTATATTTTAAACTTTATATTTTACATTTTACATTTTACATTTTACATTTAAAATTTTAAATTTTTTATTTTTCATTTTTAATATTATATTTTATTTTTAATTTTTTATTTTTTATTTTTTATTTTTAATATTTTATATTTTATATTTTATATTTTATATTTTATATTTTATATTTTATATTTTATATTTTATATTTTATATTTTATATTTTATATTTTATATTTTATATTTTATATTTTATATTTTATATTTTATATTTTATATTTTATATTTTATATTTTATATTTTATATTTTGTAATTTATATTTTATATTTTATATATATTTTATAAAATAAAATATTAAAGGTATTTCCGCATTTCAGGGCATTGCCTAGTCGCTGCAGTTAATTATTCTAGCCTTTTCAATTTATAGTTTTATCTTTGCTTGTTTTTTTTTTTTGCACCATCACCATCAGCCAGGCGGACAGAAAACTTGTTTAGAGATAAGGCTAGTGGTATTCACCTCGATATAGGTGCGCGATTTTTAAGCTTTATTTGTGCAGCATCTGAGAGTGAGTTGAGGCGTTGGAAATGCAGTCAGAGCTTGGCGCTCTGCCTGCGCTTCAGTTCCCCTTTCAATTCTCGCCAATTGGCACGCTCTGCCTGACTGATAAGCAGCTGATTACGAATATATATATAAATATAAATACTATATGTATACTAGATATATATGTGTGTGTGTGTGTGTGTGTTTGTGATATTTATTGCTAGTCATAAACCAGAAAATAGCTAAAATAATATTTGGAAATCGACAAAATTAAGGTCAAAACGCAGCCGCAGTTCGTTGGCAGTAAACAGGCCAATAAAATGAACTTCAGTCAACGACGTCAATTGAAAATTTATTGCAATTCGATGAAATTGCAAAATGTTGAAACTGCAATTCGAATTGCAAACGTGCGGCAATCAAATCAATCAATTGCATGAGCTCACACACACTCCTCTCTCTCTCTCTCTCTCTCACTCACACTCTCTCTTGCTCTTTCTTTATAAATGCCCAATGGATTATGCAAGTGGAAACTGTGGTATTATTCGCTCATTAAATAATACGTAATCCCAAATGCAACGAATCAAATGAAAACTGAAACTTATTGCCAGATAATAGCTAAAGGTTTACCTAATTACTTTAGATACTTATATATATATACAAATATATTGGTAAGTGTGGCGTACAATAATTAGTTGCCATATTGGTTACTCATTAGCCACAGCACTGTTAGCCTCTATCAGCTGAAGCTCGCCTAACTAATTTTCAGTTCCATTCGTACTGCTTTATGTACGTTCCTCAATTGGCAATGTGTGTCAAGACTTGTTTATTGCCACACTCAAAATATATACATCTCTATTCTAATTTTCAACTAGCTGCTCGGCTGGCTCTCTGGTTGTCAAGCGCCTAAAGGCAATGGCCCCCTGCTAGGAAAACTTTTCAAAAATCAAATTAATTTTAAATGTTTATCGACGATCGAGTTGACCTGGAAAATGTATAAAATAAACTTGGGGTAGTACAGACTATTGAGCTGACCTGGAAATAGTATCTAAACTTATAAAAGTATCGAGATTATTGAGTTGAACTGGAAATAGTAGCTAAGCTATAAGATAAAGAAGTATTGGCTATGGAGTTAAATTGAGAATGGTAGAGAAGACCTAGGGAAGCATCGACTATCAAAGATAGGAAAGTATTGTCTATCGAGTTGACCTGTAAATAGTATCTAAACTTATTATAAAGAAGTATCGATTATTAAGTTGATCTGAAAATAGTTTTTGAGATGATTATAGGCAAGCACAGACAATTGAATTGACCTGGAAATAGTATCTAAGCTTATGATAGGGAAGTATTGATTATTGAATTGATCTGCGAATGGTATAAAAAACTTAGGGAAGCAACGACAATGGAATTGACCTGGAAACTGTATCTCAAAGTCGATAATAGAAAAGTATCGACTATCGAGTTGTTCTATAAATAGTAAGTAGAATGATGATTGGACAGCATCGACTGTGTCTAGTTTATCTGCGAATGGTGTCCAAGATGATTATAGATGTTGACTATAGAGCTCATTAGATAATTGCATAAAAAGGCTGAGGGAAGTGTTCACTATCGAATTGACCTGGAAATACTATCGAAGTTGATTATAGGTCAGTATCGCCTATCGAGCTGGCACAATAACTAATTGGATGAAAGTAAAGAAACGAAAGTTTCATTAATTCTTAACCCTTCTTCAGCTTTTATCTGATGACCCTCATCTCTGGCTGCCATTGCACTAATATACACTTTCTTTTCCACTCTTTCCGGTTACTTTTTGCGCACTCATTAAAAAACAATTTTTGATGAAATAGAGAAAAAGTTGGGAAAACACTGCGAGATAAAACGCATAAAGCATAGATGAGTAAACACAGTCAAAGGTAAACAACGCGCAGTTTCTTTGTCAGCGATTTTCGCAAGAATTTTCGGGTAAACAAAAACAAAAAATATATAAAAAATTGAAGAAGAAGAAGACGACGCTAAAGGCTGATAAACTTTATAGAAGCAGCCGATAAAGATGCGACACAAATATCAAGTGGGCGTTGAGTAGGCAACGGACGGCGGCCCAAGAGCAGTTGCTGCGGCTGCTGTTGTGAAGGCCAAAGAGGGCAGGAGAAAGCGGCCAGCTGAGCGAGAGAGCGCGACCGTTTTGGCCAAATCAGTGAGTCATGTTGGCCTAACAAGCGTTGCGGCTGCTCTTTGCTCTTAGCTGTTTTCATTTCGCAGCTTGCTTGCTTGCTTGGCCAATTAAGCTGTTGGCCCAGCAGTCTGGCGATATTTTTGTGGCCCAGCCCGACCTTCGTAACTGAATCACGCCCCATTTGTGCGACGGCGACGCTCGCATTATGCAACATTCGCATGCGCCAAAAGCCATATAAAACGATTTCCTGACTGCAAGAGACTCTTAAGCGCATTACAAGGAACAGCAAAATGTGCAAAAATAGCAGCTAGCTGGGCGTGGCAAGAGGGCGGGGTGCCTGACAGGCGGAAGCGTGCAACATAACCTTAAACTTGCGATTGCTAAATCAACAATTTCGACCTTCGCCAAAAGCTTCTGCTCCTCTCGCAATCGATAAGAATAAAGTACGTATTTATATATAGATTGCATATATATATATGTATAAATGTATATATATATATATATATATATATATATACATACAGCTTCTGCTACGTCATTTTATTGTGACGTCAGAGTTTTGCTTAGTTTTTGTTTTCGTTCCTGTTCGCTGACTGTCGCAGGGTATAAATAACCAACCTGATGCCAGAGCCACTCGAGACAGACAGACAGAGAGAGAGAGAGTGAGAGAGAGAGAGAACTAGTTTTACAATGAGAGAAAGGCGTGTATCACGTACGTGCCGTGTGATTAACAGCTGAGACAGCTCATCTGGCTTGGCCCCATTGATTCGCAGCAAATGAAAACAAACCTTTTCAATGTAATCGAAAACTAATCATGAGTCGAGTCGAAACGTGTCCTCAGCGACAACACGTGAAGCGCGCATGGAAATGGCAATAATCATCGTAGTTAAATAGACGTTATTGGAGCTATGAGAGTCTGCAGCAACTGCTGTTACGTTGGCTGCGTCACACTTAGTGGTAAATTGATCTTCAGCTGAAAATAAGAAATTTCATTTCGAGTATGCAAAAGTTGTCAATTGATTTGGGCCGCCTTAATTTGACTGTGTTTTCAAGTATATAACGATGCGATCGGGCAACGTTAAGAGCTGAGCTACAGCTTGTTAAGTTGGCTGTGACAAACTTCAATGTAAATTGCGGCCCAGATTTAAACCAGAATTTGGAATATCTGTAAATGTTTTAAATTTGCTAATTATATGAGTTGCTTTTAAGCAAATGGAACTTCTTTGTCCAAAACAAACTTGATTTTACTCGTGAGTAAATCGGGTTTATTTTTAATAGCATTAAGTATTCATATGCACAGCTCAGCTGCTGGTGATCTGGCAACACTAAAATATACACTGAGCTTATTAAGTTGGCTGCATTAGGAATTAGCAATGAAGTTGTTATTGAGTTATGCAAATCTTGAGCATGTCTTTAGCTTTTACTTGACTTTGCTTAAGTGCATAAGGAAGTCAGCTGTGCGCTCAATTATAAAGCAAGTCTACTTCATTTCTGGGCACGAGTAGCCGCTGTAATCGCCGCAGAGTGGGGCCGGCGACAGGCAATTCAATTGAGTTTTAATGCTTCAAATGATAATATATCATGGTCCGTTGGCAAAATCACAGCAATTGGTGCACAATGCGCTTTTATTATTACAATTAATTTGCGGTTACTTGATAAACGGCGCCAGCAGTGTACAGTGGAGCCGCGCTATGGTCAACAAGTCAGATATTTGCGTTACATGTGGCAAAAGATAAGCGGATTAAAGTGTTTGCTTAACAATAATTAAATTGCGCAGGCGAAATAAATTAAATACAAATAAATAGGCTTATCTCTTTAATCAAATCAGGTGTGCCTCGCTTCACATTTATATATATATACAATATATATATTTATATTTATATTTATATTTATATAGGCATATGAAAGTTCAAGAAATGCTCATTGAATGGCTTTTGCATGGAACGAAACGATTAATTCTCGGCTTTGTTTCAGCTTGCCTATAAGGAAGTTTTGTTTCTGTGTTTTTATTGATATTATATTCTTTGTGTTCCATCTGTGCATTGCATATTGGAACAGCAGCAGATCGGCAAATAACAATCCAAATTTGAGTACTTGGCTAAAAGCGTAGCCTGTGCGTACTTTGGAACCTGTTCGCTAAAGGTTCTCGAGACATGGCAGTAATGCTAAAAACAGCCTATATAGCAGCGACAGAGCTTGCATATCAAATATGAACAAACTGGTTCTCATGGATCTATACATATATACTATATATACATATATGCACATAATCAAGCAAATACATATCTATATAAAACTGCTTTTAGCAAGCCATAAAATGTGTATTAATATAAACGCTTCAAAGTGGAAGTGTGGAAATTGGCCAAAAAAATTCTTGTGCATTTTGTTAAATTATAATTTTGAACGCGTGCCAAGAAACTAAGCAGATTTTAGCTAACAAAAATACGTGTGAAGAGACATGCGTGTGGGCAAAAAAATAAAACTAAAAAAATCTCCACAAATTTGTGGGACAAAAAGATCTTGGCGCGTGCCAAGGCAATTAACGGACTATCTGATTAATTAGCTGAATATCGCGCGTCTAGTCAAAACCGATAATTAAATCGATAATTAAAAGCTGATTTTTGCACAGTGCATGCAAATCGTGTAAACCTTTGTTTGAATACACAAATTCGCCGGAGCAGAACCGAACCGAGTTAAATGCAAATCAGCGCGTGCGAATTCGCGTGTCAACGAGAACTGAATGAAATGAACGGCGAAATCAAAGCGAGAAGCGGGCGAAGTGCGCGTACGCGACGAGCTTTTCGGATAGAGTGAGCGACTTGGTTGTCAGAGACGCAAGATATAAGGGCAGAGCAGAGCTGAGCAGTCAGACGTTGGAGGAAGGGAGACAGCAATGAGCAGGGAACATTACGCAGCACAGGATCGATAGATGGCGCTGGCGTTCCAAGGCTTGTTTACGAGGCGTAAACAAAAAGCGCCACACACGGACGCCGACATAAACAAACTGAGTCCATTAACAGTTAGAGGCAACTGCATTGCAATTTGATTGCATAAACAATCAAAGCTGTCGATTCATATGTACATGTGTGCTGCACTCACTCTCCGCCTGACCGACTGAGGGTCAGGTCAGATTAGAAGAGAAACTGCAGAGCGAGGAGACCTTGGTAGACCGCAAGGCATGTGAAAGGAGAAAGTATTGATGGACGCAGACAAAGAAGCGTCATTCAACTTGTTATATAACGTGTGCACGGCTTGCGACTTCCTCCTTGTGCAGGTGAGACCCTGCTGATAATGTCGACACAGCCTCTGCAGGGGCCGCTGCAGCGATAAGGTGACGTTGAACCTGTCCAATGCGCAAAGTTACTGCCGGCAGTAGGCTGCGGCTGCGGCTGCGGTTGCGAGAGCAGCAGCTGACAACAAACATTTGCACAACTGTTTTTGCGCACGCTTATTTTACGACATTTAATTGTTGTTGGATGCAGACCAGCTGCCAAGGGGTACAACAGACATGGCACGCCGATGAGATGGGATGGAATTCAGAGAAGCCACTCACCTCACTGGGCGACATTGATGACATATTCCTTGGTGTTTGATGGCCGTTGCACTTTGTTCGTTCTGCTTCCACTTGTTCGCAGTGTTTGCTGGGAACGTCAAGCCGCTTATCCTTTGACCTGCTATGCTGTACAATCTATTTCCTGTGGTGCACAATTTTGAATTACAAATTTATGTAATTATATGTTACATTGCCAACTATATTCGATCAAAAATTTAATAGTTTAGCCAAAGTGTTTTCTACCTTCCGAACTGTGACGTGAGACGCACACCAAAATATACTTGACATGTTGTTATTGATATTTGGGTATTTTTTAGTATTTAATTGCATCGACTATTATATCGATAGCTTACCTTAGTGAGCACAACAGCTGTTACTTAAATACGAACTACGTACATTGTTTTCTACAAAGTCAACTAGTAGCTGAAACATAAGTTATTTAAATGAATTTTTTTTATAAAAACAATTTGTTTGAATTTAATAAATAACACATTTAATTTTCATTCCGTACGGCAACAGAATATATCGATAGTTATAGTTTTAGGTATTTATCGGTATTTTAATGAATTGTGGCACAACAGAACAACTCATGTGGATGAAGTATTTACTAACAGCTGATATTATTAAAAAAAAAAACAAAAATGTTAAGAAGTAAATGTATCAAATAAATTAATTAATGTATCAGTTGAAAATATAATGAGAATAGTCTTAAAATGACACAAAAAGAGTCGAGCAGCAGTGCTTATAGATATGATTCTATTTTATGTTATTTAATACAAAAGCAAATGCTCACTGCCCACAGTGGCGGCTAAAATAATGGACATAGCTGTAATCTGACTGATATCAGGTGTTGCGATTTATTCGACACTGATAAAGCATCTAAGAATTATTAAATACACGAGCAGCACTTGTTCAACTGCTCAGTAAGTGGTTTGCATTACTTTCGGGCATATCAACAGCAACGGCAACTTGACAACAATGCATTTCGGCGTATTGGGCAGCGGCATTATTGGTCTAACCAGCGCATTGGAGCTGCAGCAGCAGTTTCCCACGGCGCAGGTGTCGATCATAGCGGACCGCTTCAATGAAGACACCGTCAGCTATGTGGCTGCGGGCATCTTTCGCCCGGGCACCAGTTTCATGGGCCCCACCCAGGAGATTACCCAGTACGTGACAAAACAAGGTCAAATCAATTGATTTCATATTAATTTATACTCTTTATTTGCAGGCAATGGATGAGGGATGCATTTAACTACTGGGATGAGCTGCGGCGCTCCCCGGAATCAGCCCTAGCTGGCGTCTGTCAACTGTCCGGCTACATATACTCACGCACCACGCCTTCCATAGTGCGGGTAAACCTACGGCCCTAATCACCTATTCTTATCACATTTGATTATAGCTAATGATGTTTACTGTTTGATTATCTAGAATCACTTTATAGAGCAGCTGCTGCCCGTTTACCGACGCGCCACAGAGGAGGAGCTGAGGCTCTGCCACGGCGGCTGGAAGTATGGCTCCTTCTTTACCACCTGCCTGACAGAGAGTCGTCTCTTCCTGCCCTATGCCACCAAGAAGTAAATTTGACTGAAATCCATAGCTAGCTTCGGTTAAATGTAATTGTATTTCAGATTCCTGTCGAACGGCGGTCGAGTGTTGCGTCAGCATGTGAGCAACTTGCTCGACGTACCGCAGGACATTGACGTGTTGCTCAACTGCACCGGCATGGGCGCCAAGGAGCTGTGCAATGATCAACATTTGGTGCCGATTCGTGGACAGGTACTGAAGGTGCGTGCACCCTGGATAAAGACGGCTTTCTACGGTGACCTCGACACCTATGTGTTGCCCGGTTTTGAGACGGTGACGCTGGGTGGTTGCAGACAGTACGACAGCTACAACACCGAGTGGTGCAAGTACGATAGCATGGCTATAAAGGAGCGTTGCTATGATCTGCTGCCCAGCTTGAAGAAGGCGGAAATTGTACGCGAGTGCGTTGGCCTACGTCCGCACCGCTCGGTGGTGCGTGTGGAGCCGGAGCTGCTGACAAATGCTCAGGGTCGTCGCCTGAAGGTGGTGCACAATTATGGGCACGGCGGCTATGGAGTAACCACTGCACCGGGCACAGCTAAATATGCGGTGCAAGTGGTGCGCGACGTGCTTGCGGGCAATAGCAAACTGTAGCCTGATTTCTATTATATTGTTGACTTGTTGTTAATTAAAATGTTCATATGTGCAATTCGCGATTTATACAAACTTTAACCTCCACAAACACGAATTTTGATTGCATTTGGCTCAATAAATTAATCAAAATGCGAGCTGGCTATGAAGACATAAATCAATTACAATTTTTGAGATAAGATTAAATAAAAATAAAAACAATATTCAAATGTCGCGCGCTATGCGGTGCCTATCGATATGCATGAGCAGTGTTGGCTAACGTTTGCGGCTCGGCACACAATGCGCAAATGCGCCGCATGAATGGAAAGCTCGACAGCTTTCGCTCGCCCACACAAATAACCCATCAGGCATCGATTTTCACCACTGGAGCAGAAAGAAACAGCAGCTGGGACGATTGAAACAGTTCAAATGATGAAAACGTATACAAAACGCTTATATTCGCCGCGATAGTCAATTCGCCGCACACACTCAAACAGACACATGCGTAGCTGCAGGAAAATTTGTGCTTCATTCGTGGTCCTGTAACGACGTGTACAACAGAGCGACAGCAAATTCTAACGGAGCACACAGGAAAAAAAGGTGAAAATCAGTTGAGAAAAAAGAAGCACTTTACCTGGCGCCTGCAACTAAATGAATAATTCACTTGTATCGGGCGAGACGAACGCGCGTAAAACGCTGAATAATTGATTGAATAATCGCAATCGTAAACAAAAAAGCGCAAAAATTTCTAACAGCAGGCAGTCAGCCATCAGTGGTAACACGAGCCCAGTGCCAAGGCTAAATTTTACCCGTGCTGCACGCCACAGACCCTAAGCCAGTACCACAAAAAAAAAAAAAAAAAATACAAAAGAAAAAGCAGAAATTAGAGCGAAAAAGCAAACTCGCAGTCGCAATATCGATTTGTGTATATGTGTGAAAAATAACAGTAAAGCGCTTACACCCACGCACACAGAAACACACGCATACGTCAACAAAAACAACAACAACGGCAGTCGGTCAGAAGGAACAGTCGCAGCACTCAAGGAATTACCCCAGGATTCGCAGGCATCCAGCGCAATACGAGTCCCCACACACAGCCACAGACACAAACTCATACACCTACAGCCAGCAGCAGCTGCAACAACACGGGAGAGAGAGAGAGACAGGGAGCGTAGAGAATAACCGCAAGAACCTCAAGACTAAGTCACAGTAAGTGCATTTGCATTGCCCGTAACAATAAGTATACACGGCATGGTACTCATTTCTTATGTACTTACATACATGTATAGTATATGCTAAACACACACACACATACACACAGACATTTGCATGTGCACGCTGGACATGTCAACAACAATAATAGGCAGGCAACTCGCCGTGTTTTGATATCTGCTCTTATTTATTTCTTCTTTGTTTGTTTGTCCAGTTGGACAGCGAAAGTTGTCAATGCCAAATGCACGCAGCAAATGATTTTATTTCATTGTTGTGGCTTGATAGCTGCTACTGCCACCTGGTTGCACACAAGAACGACAGCAATAGTTGAAGGTTAACTAAAAACTGAAACTGTTTAAACTTTTATATTTCTTATATATATGTACTTTGGATTCCATGTCCTTCAGATGACGTCAAATTGAAACTCGTTTTACCCATAGACATCTCTCGCAGTGTTTAAACGTGATATCATTTCTTATAATGATGGATTGCAAGCACATAGCACATATACACTAAGACTATCTGAACTTTTTAAATTGATTGATTGAGCACTCTCAAATGGCCAAGTATGCTTAAGTCTGTTGTGTGCTAAAGGGCTTTAGAGGAATACACACATACATAAGTCCAGCTAGTTTTTGGTGTGTAGATGTGTCCAATATGATTGAAAAGTATTTTTTCTTATTATTAAAAATTCAACTGCGACTGCTTCAAACACTTTCTATCTGATATCGATTAAGCAGCAAATTGCTTTACATAAAATGTTATCGAGTTACTATCGATATACAGCGACATTTCTAAAACCTCTAAAAGGAGCAATAGTAATTTTTAGATGGCCAATTAGCTCGCTTTTTGGATAGTTGCTGGCTGCATGGGAAGTTTAATCCCCTATCGAATTGAACACATATACACCCACACAAACACACAGAGTTTGCTACCAGCGTATTCTTGTCTAAATAGCCGAAAACTTTGAAATAGTCAACATTTTGATTGAGAAATTTACAACTTCTGTGCATAATTGAACCGAGCACACACACACGCATACACGTGCAGAATAAATGTATCTGAAATTGGCATTTGCTTTGTGATATGCGATGCCGCAATTTGTTATCAATAATTAAACAACAGGCCCACAGGTTATGCTGGCAATTGGCAACAGCTGCTTAATGTGTGTTTCACGGGGAGCTGCTTACAAATTTGAAACATGAAAGAACATCAACTACATCAACAATAACAACAACAACGTGTAACAACAGCCAACCCTGTGCTGGGTATAAAAATCGATAATTACCAAGCGAACGAGCTTGGCGAGGCAGATAAAAAGCACGCAGCACGCTCTGATAACAGCCTGCACTTATTTACTTGAACATGACTGTCGCTGCTTGTCGCTTGCTGCTTGTTCATGTCTGTACAGGTTTATGCCTGTCTTCGCGATGCGCCTCAAAAGCCTCTCAACATCCGCCGACCCCACCGCCAGCGCCGCCACTCACCGCTAGATGGAGCTGTGTCTTTTGCCAGGGGCCTTGACGGTGACGGAGTGAACTTTTGATTTAAAGCATGATTGTGTGGGGGTAAAACGTTGTAGCTGCTCGTACAAACAAATTATCGACACAATGTTGTGTGTATGACAAAAAAGTCACTATTAACTCAATGTTGAAATAGCCAAAGCAGCCAAGCTCCGTCCTCCCTATTTCTCTTCCTCTGAAGACAAGGCTAAAACTTTTTCAAGGCCAGGCTCGAGCTGATTGCCTTGTTGTCAGTCAAGGCGTTCTTTGAAATTTCATCATGACGTGACACTCATATTAAAGAAAAGCTAATATTCATATTTCCAGAGGGCAAAATTCATAAGAAATTGGCAGGCAGCAGCTACATAAACACAAGCTTTCTCTCTCTCTTTCTTTCTAAGTTTATATACTGCAACTTGCTGAACTAGTCAGCTGCGCAAATCCCTTAAGCCTGCCTGTTTGTGCCAAACAGTAAGATTAAGATTTCATTTAAGTTGGCTTTAACTCACGTTTTGACATTCATCCATTGCTTTACAATTTGTAGAATCACGAACTTCGCCCAAGCATTCGGCACTGTGATCTTTCCAATGTGTAAGCTGTGTAAGTGTTGTAAAAAAGGCGCAGTGATTATCGATAGTTTTGATATTGTTAACATAAAAGATGAACAAATAATTGCTGTGCAAATTTAAAATTAAATTACTTTGTTTTACACTAGTCTAAACTATAATTGAATTATTTGTTTTTCAATTTAACAAAATAATGAGTGCCTGCCTTTGTTGTGTCATGAACCCTTATAATGGAGAATAATCCTTTGTGCATAGCAATCGATAGTATCGAAACTGACATGTGCTATTGCCTATCGACGGTTGTGCAGCTCTTGTAAATAAGAGGTAAAAAGGAATCGCTTCACGGAAAATGTAAAATTTTAATAAAATATCCTGCCATACTAGCGCGTCGTAACCTATAGTCGTTCATTTGGATTTCGCACAGCTATTCACTGCGTTTCTTCAGTTACCAATTACTCTCTAGCTATGCCAGCTATTCCCCCAAGGCCTTGTCACTACCTAATCCCCAGCCACCGCTCCTCCGGCCAAGGCCAATAAGTTAATGCGAATCGTGTTTATGCTTTTTGAAAAGGCAAACGCATTTCGTTTAATGCACGCGCAGACAATTCAATTACTTTATAATCTGCAGTACTGGAAGGCGGCTTACGCTTGGTTGAGCTGCTACCGACGGCTTCCTGTTGCTGTTCCTCTGGCTGATTAAACAATGATACACAAAAAATTAAAAAAGTAACCAACACTTGTTCTACGTGTCGGCGCTCTACTCGATCAGTTGCATCCTTGCTCCCGTACCTGGGCCGGCAGCCACGCCCACGCCCACACCCAGGCCATCGCCCATGCCGCACTTGGGAACTGCGCTGGGCACGGTCATCATCACATCTTCAGCCTGTTGCAGCAGATAATGGCCGCTGCACTTATTGATCAGGCTGGAGTCGCCATCGCTGCCAGTGGTCTGCAGACTTCGAAAATTCACACTGCTGTTGCTGCTGCTGTTGGGATTGTTGTTGTTTTTGTTGCTGGAGCTGAAAAAGATGATGGAATTGGGACAGCACGCGGCCAACGACGACTGCTGCTGCTGCTGCTGCTGCTGCTGTTGCTGCTGTTGCTGTTGCAGCTGTTGCTGTTGTTGTTGCTGCTGCTGCTGCTGCTGCTGCTCCTGCTGAAGCGAATTGGCTGCCGTTTCACGTTTGAGCACAGTGGTGCAAACGCTGGCGCTGGAGCTGGTGGTTATGGTGGTGGTTGTGTCCAGCGTCTCGATCAGCTGTCCCTCGTCATCCGAGTTTAGGATGACGGTGGTGGGAATATCGTGCAGTTTTAGCTGTGGCTGCTGCTGCTGCTGTTGCGGAAGCAACTGATGCTGCTGCTGCTGTTGCAACTGCTGTTGCTCCTGCTGCGACTGTCCATGTTCTTCGTCCAGCTCCTGTTGCTGCTGCTGCAGCATCTCGATGCGCATGCGCGCCAGCTGTGTGGCATCGTACGGACAGAAGTAGTTGAGATTGATGATCCGATTGCCAAGTTGCTGCACCGGGCGTGAGTTGCGCGAAATGGGCGTGACGCCATCGGAGCTGAGCAGCTGGCGAAAGTGGCGCAGCTGAAAGTCGCTAATGGCCAGCGACTCGGGAAAGATGAACCACTCGGTGCCCTGGTAGCACGGCGGCTGTGTCAGCGAGCCACCGTAGCTATAGAAGCCCGTGCGAAAGGGATAGATCAGGTAGGAAAGCGGAAAGGGTGCAATGTTCACGCGCTTGCCGGGCGTCTGCACCAGCTTGAGGTTCTGCATGAGCGGATCGAGAAACGGATTGTGTGCGGACAGCTCGAACACGTAGGCAATCATAAGCAGATCGTAGCTGCTCGTGCTGTTGCGACGCACCGAGGCTCCCGTGCGATGCAGCACCTGCATCTCGAGCGGAAACTTGCGATGATTCAGCGTATGCTCGGAGCCCTCGCTGTTCGACCAGCCCCAGTGGAAGCAGAGCTCCACAAAGGTATAGCTAGCCAGCAAGTCGGCGCCACTGATGGTCGGCACATTGCTGCGAAACTGGGCACGGAGCAACAGCGTCTGTCCCGTGTTCTCCAGCACAATGCTGGCCGGCAGCTCGTCGTAGTGATTCCAGTTGAGCAGCTCGCGTATGGCCAGGCGCTGCACCACCTGCTCCTCAATGTTGACGGGACTCTGATTGATAACCGACTGTGTCCAGGTGTGTGGTCCGTGCTTTATAGTATAATCAAAGCCGCCTGTCACGCCCTTGGCGCTGTTGCGCCAGAGATACGAGAACGGATAGAGCTTGCTAAAGCCCTGGAAACGTTCGCGCAGCTCCTCGCCCAGCTCCTTGCGCACCTCCTCGTCGGCCTGATTGAAGAAGCTGATGAGCAGACAGGCGCCGGTGGCTAGCAGCGGATGCTGCCAGGCCTGGCTTAGCAGCAGGTAAATACCCTGGGCCAGCCAACTGACGAGCATGCCCAACGTGGTATCGAACATGGTATCCGGATCCGAATGTTGATGCAAAAACGTGAAATGTGAAAACGCAGAAACGAGTAAAAATAAGAAGTGAAGCACCAATCGGAGGTGTTCAAAATTTTAATTTAAATTAAGGTTGATTTTGAAGAGAATGGAATTTTTTCTATAAATATATATGTATTTGTACATACATATATAGATATATATATATATATATATATTTAAAATGAAGTCGAGCAATTGATGCTAGTGTTAAACTGTTGCTGCGAATAATGATTTTCTCCACATGAAACTTTTTTTATAACAAAATCCAGGCTAAGCTGATCTAACTGAAGTTATCTGATTCCTTTACAGCACACAATTATGGCTGGCGGCGGGGATCCCAAATGGCAGAAGGATGCAGCCGATCAGAACTTCGACTACATGTTCAAGCTCCTCATCATTGGCAACTCCAGTGTGGGCAAGACAAGTTTCCTCTTTCGCTATGCGGACGACAGCTTCACATCGGCCTTTGTCTCCACCGTGGGCATCGACTTTAAGGTCAAGACCGTGTTCCGTCATGACAAGCGTGTGAAGCTTCAGATTTGGGTAAGTCAAGCAGAAGTCGACTACTGATTCACTTTTGTGCTAAGTGTGGCTTGGTGCATGGCCAAGGCTGTTGCTGTTGGACGACTTCATTCAGATCTCCCAAGTTAAGATAGATCCTAAAGCAACAGATTTCAATTGTAATAAGAGTCAAGGCAAGCTAGTTGAACCAAGTTCAAGTCGGTGTCAACTTCGCCCAAGCTAGACCTCTCCACTAACCTAAGCAACTCTCTTTAACAACTCGCTTCAAGTTGCTTCGCAAATCCAACCAGTTTCCTTGCCAATTTGGCCGCAACAGACAACATAAAATTAGCAATTATCAACTGCCAAGCACTCATCAAAAGGCCAATTCTAGTTAATTCTAGTTAAGCACTCAGTCCAATTAGCTAGCGTAGCTCTTACTAGATGAAAGGCTTCTAAAGGAGCACAGATACCTCAGCTTAATCGAATACAATTAAATATGAGCAGCGCCGCCTTTCAGCACACACACATGTTCAGCTATTCAGCTAGTCAGTTACTCAGCTATTCAGCTATTCAGCTATTCAGCAATTATTCTGCTAATTGCTTTTGATTTCAAGCTGTTTGTCAACAGGCTCAACCTATACTCTTAAGAGTTGTTCAGTTAATTATTTAAAAATCATAAAATTTTCTAATTAAAATCAGAAGTGAACAAGCTAAAAAGTGTAGCATACTTTTATGGGCAAAGCTTAAGTAACCTAAATGCAGCACATTTAGTAATGTGACAAGTTAGCTGTCAATTAACATAGATAAAGAGCGAAAGAGAGGCAGAGAGAGTGCTAGAGGGAGAGAGCGAGAGAGAGAGAGAGTCAGCTCTATTGATTGCTGAGAGCTGTGTCTATTTTGGCATCAATGCCATTGAGCGAGCGCCTCACTCGCCAGGGGCAACAAGTTTTACAGGTGAGCGCACTGCGAAGTGTTCCCACACGAACACAGCTGTGCGCCCACATGCATACATACGTGTGAGCGTGTGTGTGTGTGGGTGTGTGGGCAGCACTAATTGCGTTTTATGCACATGACACGTAGATGTAACACATAGACTTTACCTCACTGACCATAACGTTTGCTTTCTGTGTATGCGTGCGTGTGTGTCCTTGTGGGCAACAGGATACGGCTGGGCAGGAGCGTTACCGCACCATAACCACAGCCTACTACCGCGGCGCCATGGGTTTCATTCTGATGTATGATGTCACCAATGAGGACAGCTTCAACTCTGTGCAGGACTGGTGCGTAACGAGAGCTGCAAACATACTCACACTGTGCGCTTAATTATTTGATATCTTTTGCATTCAGGGTGACACAAATCAAAACGTATTCGTGGGACAACGCTCAGGTCATATTGGTGGGCAACAAATGCGACATGGAGGACCAGCGCGTGATTAGCTTCGAGCGCGGACGCCAATTGGCCGATCAGCTGGGCGTTGAGTTCTTTGAGACATCGGCCAAAGAGAATGTAAATGTTAAGGTTAGTCTCAGCTGCTATATCTTCTAAATGCATCCATATTGATCCTGATTCAATGTACGACAGGCTGTCTTTGAGCGTCTGGTGGATATTATATGCGACAAGATGTCCGAGAGTCTAGATGCAGATCCAACGTTAGTCGGCGGCTCACAGAAGGGACAACGCTTGACGGATCAGCCGCAGGGCACGCCCAATGCCAATTGTAATTGTTAAACGGACACAATTAGCCGATGTTATAGTCAAAACTAACTAGCCTACACACATAGACACTCACACACACACCCACACACACACACATGCAGACACACCTATACACGCAGTACAGTTACAATTTGAACAAAAGTTTTGAGAGCGCAGCAAATGAAATGCAAAAACTTATAGAGAACGAGAACATAAGTAATACCAACATATATATGTATATACCAGCACACACACACATATATATATATCTATATATATACATTATATATTTACAATTGATTTGCATGTGTTTGAATTATATCAGTGTTTCCAGCATATTTGTTGAGATTGTATTTGATATGAAGAATTTAACGAGAGTTAGTATCGCAGAGAAACCAAAACAGACACGAAATACTGCTTTATATATACATATATATAATATACCAATATATATGTATATATATGAATATAAATACAAAGAAAACATGTTTATTTTCAATGTGCTTACTGAGAAATGTTGCTAATTTGTCAATGTGTTGTGTGTAAAAATTGATAAACGATACCGATAACGATATCGATAATGATAATGTTAACGATAACAATAACTCATGTCTAAGTGGCATTGAATTGGGCACTAATTAAATATGCACAATTTTGTGCTATATACATATTTATATATATATATATAAACATAATTTCCATGACTTTTCCCATTTCCTTTTCGCTGTACTCTATAAACATAAAACTCGTCTGTCTCTTAGCCGTATCAAGACGATATTTCTTTCTCTCGCAAACACTTTTTGAATGTTTCATTTAAGTATTTTCAATGTACATACGCTGGCAGCTTGGAAAAACCGTCAATAAATGAAAATTGAAAGAAAATTGAATAAAGGCAAACAAAATAGCAGCAAAAACGCACAAAGCTAGCGAATTGGTGAAATTAAACATTAAATGCAAGCACTGACATACATATATATATTCATTATAAACTAACTAGTTTTCACACACACACACACACACTCACACACACTCACACAGACACACACACATACACAACTGTACGCGTTGTATATGCATAAAAGGCAAGGCTCTAGTCGAGGAAGAAAGTTCATTATTATAATTATAATTATTATTATGTATGTATGTATTTATGTAGTGAAATTAAACAATTTTAATGTGTTGCGTATTATAAAAATTAAATATTATACATATATAAATATACATATACCATATGAGAAAACCAAACGAAAGACAAAACCAACTCTAAATGAACGGCATCAAAATTTCACTTTTGTTTTACTTGCTCAAAATTTCATTTCAAAGAGAAATTATTGTGTAGACCAGATCGAGCGTGATTTTAACCGGATGTAAATAGACTATATATATAGACTATATATATACAGTCTGGCTGATCTAGCGTAAGCCGAGAGACTGCAAATACTTTCTCAACGCACAAAGCTTTTTATGATTTTTACTATAAGTTTTTCAGCATTTTCAATTGACAATTAATGAATTGTAGCCCACCGTGCGTTGACTGCACAGTGCAACAAAACACACAGAGATATCGGTGCATTTAATTTAAATTAAATTAATAAACTAAACTAAACTTAACTGAACTTCAATTTTTGATATGCACACGAAGTAAACAATTTCTTCTGCTTAAATAATTATAATTTCTATAAACGAAAATCGATCAATTTTTCTGTGAATGCCAGCTGACTTTGAGATATAATTGTTATATATAATATATATATATATATATGATGCATGTAAAAATTAAAACAATTTTGTATAGCTAAACCATAATGCTGAAAGACAAAAACAATTATATAAAATTGCTCGTCATTTGCAGAGTTTCAATTGAGATATTAATTAAAGGCATATCGCTGTATTATAAATACCTCCCCCATCTCCTCCTCCGCCTCCTCCACAAAAGAAAAATATACCCGCAAAACGGATTAAAATTGTTGCACGAGATGCAGAGCAAAAGTCTCTTTCAGATACAAAAGTATCTTTCAGATACAAAAGTATCTTTTAGATCCAAAGTATCTTTCAGATACAAAAGTATCTTTTATATACAAAGAGTCTTGCAAAAAGTATCTTGCAGATGCAAAAGTATCTTTCAGATGCATGTTAAACAATTTGTTCGTTTTTGTTAAAATTGTGAATGCCTTTGCAGCTTCGTCGACCTATTTGGCATTTGGAACTGTTTTTTTTTGTGTACTATAATCAGATAACAATGGCATTATCAATATATGTATGTATACCCTATGCGATTATTGTGAATGTATGCTTATAGCCCAAACGAAAATAAATACAAAATATTGTTAACGATTTCATAAATTAAAGAAACTTGCGCTACATTGTTGTCATTTTAATCCAATAAAGAAAATATTAAATTATTGCCGAGTATACGCAAAAAGAAGAAAATTGCATAATTATTTCCTCATAATCAACATTGTTTGGCAACCAATTAAAAATAATAATAATAATAGTACTTAAAAGGTATGAACCGAAAATGCCCCATTAGAAGAATGTATACAAGAATTAACTGAATCCAAGGTTGGTCTTTAAGTATATATATAACTATATATATATATATATATATACTATATATATATATGTATATATATACTATATATATATACATATGTATTGATGTATTTTGCATCTTATGAGAATATTTAGTGCATATACAAACACATACATACCACGTGCACACATACACACACACATATATATATGCGATTGCGAGTATTAGACATGCTTACTGTACTTCGGATACACACATTTATGTATATATATATGTATTTATATATATAAATATATATATATTTATATATATACATATATATATTGTGTATACGTGAACCATGTGCATATGTATTTGGGTTTATTTAATAATTTAGACAACAAATAATGAACTATTTATTCTTGTACCTTCGGTACATAAATGATAACAAACAAATAACAATAATGAATAATATTGAAAGTATTAAACATGAATAAACGTAAATTCAAAATATGAAAAAAAAACAAAACTAAATAAATTTAGTTTTATTTGAAATATTTGTATATTGATTTGATGCTATGGATAACTGGTAATTTTAATATATTTTAAATAATAATAGAAATAAAAATTAGTTCAATCTGAAGGGAAGACGCTGAGGCTGCAGATTGATAGCCAAGTAATTTTACTTCAAATATGAAATGGACTAAGTTGATTTACCTACCTGAAGTTGAGCTGAAAGTTGAGCAAGTTTATATAAAGAAAGAGATAGATAGATGTGAGTGATGGGGAGGGAGGGAGGTAGATAGAGGTACAATAGATTGTAATAAAAACAACTTTTTATATTTATAATTTACACATTTTATTTAAATACGCTTAAGTTCAATTCACATAAATATTATTATTATTATAGTTTAGCAATTTGAAACAATGGCGTAACTCACATCGAAGAACAGCAGCGAGAAGCGATCAGAGAAGCAACATTTAGAAAAGTTAAGAACAAATATTTTAGCTGGAGCCGTATAGAAGCATAAGTTGTAGAGCTGTGTATGTATATAAGTTAGACATAGGTGCATATCTTTCAAGTTGCCTATGCAGCTTATCTATGCTTCTTGCTTGCCTTTTGTTCATTCAAATTGCCTGCTCCTCACTTGCAGCTCACTTTTTAGCTATTGCCATTTGTTTGCTATGCTTCTCGCTTCGCTTCTCGCTTGGTTGATTAAGAATCTGTTGCAGGCAGCTTAAAATTGATTTATTTTGGTATTTTAGCCACACGTTTCATACTGAGCAGCTTTAAACTATTATTATTATTATTTTAATTAATTTTTTTTTGTAATTTTTGCACAGACACAAAAACTGTTTCTAGCTACAATTTAATTTTATTTTTGAGTTTCAAAGCATTTTGAAATATATATGTATATATATAGACATTTACTGCTGGATATGTTTAACTGTATGTGTATGTGTGTGTGTATTAGAGTTTATATATTTATATAGATTTTGATCATGGTGCGTTGTCTTTATGCGCTTCACACTCGTTTCTTTTGTACATTTAATTTGTTTTTATTTATTTTATTTGATTTTCGAATTTTGCCCGAACTCTTTCAATTTTCAACTAAATGGCAACGCGTGCAAATTAATTATAATTTCATTTAGCATATTTTGTATATATTTTGTTTTCATTTGATTGCATTCAGATGCGCTCAACTTTAACTAATTTGGCATAATAAGCTCTACATAATTAGGAGGCACACGACTTTTTGTTTCATTTGCATATTTGCTAAAACTCGACGAAAACGTAAGGGAAAATATGGAATGCGAATGGGTGAGAGTAGAGTTAAGCTGTATGCGGCTTGTTGATACCCTGTACCAGTCTCGTGTAAGGGAATTCGAGATAAAAGCAAATTTCTTTGATGTTGAGCAAAAAATGTGAGTTGAGCTTAGCTGAGTTTATCTATCAATTTTATTAAATTTAATCAGAGATTTATGCTCAGTATATAGGATATCTATAATTATGACTCCGATTTTATATTTATAGATATCCTATATTGTTGCTTATATAGAAGGGGTATATATCTTTGTATTTGTATACATTTTTATTAACTTTCAGTATACCCTCGCTGCTTATGCTACTGAGTACAGGGTATACAATTTCGTCTTGCATACACAAAGTTTGTTCATAGAGCTATGTAAGTTATAAATATATCTTCATAATGTACATCATTATTCGAGAGTTATTTGAACTGCTAAATACCCTTGCTTAATAAGTATTTGACAATTTATGTGTATGTGTGTGGGAGTGTGTGTGTATTTGTGTTGAGCTATGTTGAATTATGTCTTAAATATAAGAAAATTCACAAAAACAAATGCATAAAATCAGTCTGAGTTTTATTTAATACATCAAGTATACGTAAGTATATATTTATATATATACATAAATATATATTTATATATATATATTTATATATATATTTTTATATATATATTTTTATATATATTTATATATATATTTATATGATACATATAGAGCTAAGTAAATGCATAAAATTATGAGCTAAACTTTATAAATTTATATATGTTTATATAAATTAATATAATTATATAAATTTGCCATATGTTTGTGTAGTTGTTGTTGTTTTTTTTTATTTTTATAAATTAATTAAATGCTAAAAAATATATGTATATATAAGTGTATGTGTATGTGCATGCATGCAGCACAGGTTATCCTTCTCTGTTATGGTATGTACAGGGTATATGTATGTGTCTGTCTGTGTGTATGTTTGTGTGTGTGGCCAGCAATTATATTATATTATTTAATTTCTTGAAGCAACATTTAAATATGATTTGTTTGCCTTTTGAATTGGGGCTTGCGTCTGACGGTTGCAAACTGATTTGCTGCTTGCTGCAGCTTGTGCGCTTGCAACTTGTGCTGCTGCAGCTGCCGCTTTGTTGTTGGCAGCCGTCACACTGTGGTCTCGTCGTCATCAATATTCCGCCTGTGCCAAAAGAGTTTAGTGCAAATTTATTAATTAAGTTTTCAATATTTCAATTCATTTATATTTTTAAATAGGTTCTCAACAACAGCTAAACTATGCCAGACGCATGCTTTTTAATTAGATAAACGCTTAAAAACTTAACTACATTAGCTAATGTCATGCCAAAAAGCTGAAATTCATTTAATTTCAAGAGCCAAAAAAATATAAAAATCAAAATATGTGAGAAATAAATTCAATTTGCATGCAAAATTACGTGAGTTGTTATAAATATATATATATGTATATATATATATATATATGTGTGTGTGTGTGTATAATCTGTTGTATGTGAGTGTGTGCGTGTTTCAACTATTTTGCCGTATTTATGTTTAATTTATGGCCAACAGCTGCTGCTGGCTAAAATAGCTAATTTGATAAAAATTAAAATTATGCTAAATATTTTGTCAGCTAAATTTCGCTTGGAACAAGTGAAAATACTTTTCCTATTTATGAATATTTATGAATATTTATGAATAATTCGTATTGTTAGATATTGTTAGATTATTTAGCTATTTAGATAGTAAAATGTCAGATATATTATGGGTAGTTTAAGCACTATAAATATTCTTGCATTTGGCGCTGTTCGAGTTAACTTTCTTTCATATATTTGCTCTAAGCGAACTAGTTCAATTTTGAATATATATATAAAGCGTGTTCATATGAGCTTTAGTTCAGATGGCATATCATGGATATATGGCTTCTTTCCAACTATACTTGAGCGTTTGTTTGACTGCAGACAAACTGGTTTTTATTTAACTATTTTTATATTTACTTCTAGCTTTAAAACAGCTAAATTTAAGAAAATTTTGAAACTTTTTGGTGTGCTCCGTCTCGTATCATATGTATTTCTTTATGACTACAAAACTTGTTGATTCCAGCTACAATTATTGTCAGTTTTCCCCATTAGCCACGTCCCTCCTCTTTATGAGCTTGTTATTTACAAATGCAGCTGCTCTTTAGATTAACCATTTTCAAGTCTAAAATTTTTATTCATGTAGACAAATGCACTGAGCCAATATACCCTCTTCACTCAGTAAGCGGGCATTATATGCGCACTAGTTGCAAGAATATTTCAACTTCGCCAGGCCGAAGTTTAGTTGCATCATATTAAGTATACGCCTAGTCGAGGTACACAGCGCTAGCCATATTAAGTATACGCCTCGTTGAGGCGGCCAACTTATTAAACAGCTTTAATTAACTATTAAAACTGGTGCAATCTCTAGTTGATTTGTTGGGATTTGTTGTTCTGTTCTATTATTAATTGAATTCGTATTAGTTATGTACATATCCTGATACCATATTGTTAGCGACCAAGGATAGTGCTGCTGCCTCTGCTGCCTGCGTTGCAGCCAAACAATGTCGTACTGTGAAAATGTTGTTGTTGTTGTGTTGTTTTTGTTATTGTTGTTGTTGCAAAGTAAATGAATTTCAATGATTGATGCCACACATAAAATTGTTTGTTTTCGTTTTTGCTTAAATTAATGCAACGCATTCAAATTGCGAAATAGCAAAATTACAAAATTACAAAATTACATAAATCAAAATCAATAACAACAAATTAATTGTGAAAGCAAAATAAACAATTGATTTGGCTATTTTAATTCGCTTTTCTTATTTACAATTAATTTCGAATTAAATTGAGCGCAAATCATTTTCAATTTATTTGAGCGCATTAAATGAAAGGACCAAAATTTATTCATTTCGTTTTGCTGTGTGTAAAGTGCAATTAAATTACCAAAGAAAAAAAAAGAAAGTAAAAAAGGCATAAACAAATTAAAGAAAAATAAATTTCAATTTTATTTACAACCGCAGAGAAAATGAGGAGAAAAATGCGAATAGAAAAGTAAATGAAAATGTGAGACGCTGTGATACGAATGATATTTGAAATATATGGAAAATGCAATTCGTTTGTGGTTTACCTCGGAGCTGTTGTTGTTGTAGCGATTTGTCAGTGTTTGTTGTTGTTGTTGTTTTTCATTGTTTTTCAATTGTTGTTGTTCAAGTAAGACGCAATTGGCCGCCATTGTTATGCAATGCGTATGTGTGTGTGTGTGTTGGAGTGTGTGTGTGAGTGAGTGTTGCATGTCAGTTGTTGTTATTTGCAACAAAGCACAAAGCAGTAAAGAGTTAGAGCGAGAGAGTGTGCGAGAGAGAGAGAGCAGGTTGAAGAGAATAGAAAAGTGAAAGATAGTCAAATTAGATTTGCTTCAAACGTTCCCAGGACCAGCTGAAAGTTTCAATTATAAGTGTGTGCATTCATGTGTGTGTGTGTGTGTGTGTGTATGTATGTGTGAGTTCAGTTTCGGATCATATTCATTTGCATTGTTTGTAGTTTTCATTGTAGTTTTGATAAACGCATGGGAAAGGGGGAAAGACAAGGAATACTTTTTTTTAGATATATCTTTTTTGTTGTTGGTTGTTTATGTGTGTGCGTGTGTGTGTGTATTTATGTGGTTTTGTATGCCATAAAGCAAAGAGAATTAGAAACAAAAGAGCACAGATTAAAATGGAATAAAAACGTTGAAGAGAACTGAATAAAAAGACAATTGAAATGAAAGCTTGAACTTATAACTAAACGAAATGAAACGAGCCGCACAAATTGCTAGACAAATGCGAATATGAATACGAATACGAGTATGAGTATGACTATGAGTATGAGTATGGATGACTATTGAATAGTGAAGGCGAATGAGGACGATTATGTGAGTAGCTGTAGCAAATGAAATCGTTTGGATATGTAACTCAAATTGGATTGTACGACGAGTACAAAGCGGACTAATTACGTGTGTTGTGTTGTGTGTGGTGTGTTGTGTGTTGTGTGTGTGGACTAGAGACACTCTTCGCTATATGTATATAGATATAGAGGACACACCGAAAACGGAAAAGGAAACGGAACGGAACGGAAATGGCCAAGGCAACTGCCACGGCAACTTCAACTTTAACCTTAACCTTAACCTTAACGTTAACCAAAAACCATAAGCGAAACGTAAGACGAAACCAACTTAAAAACAAGTAAACGAAGCTCGCTTGGTTGGGTACGGTTGGGTACTCACTCGGTGTCCGTGATGCTGGCCAGTGGACCCAGTGGCTGCATGGGAGCCACCATGTTCGAGGGCGGCGAGGAGGCGCGTGAGCTGTGCCGCGAGCTGCCACCGACGACGCTGCCGGCGAGCGTGTGCCGGGCCAGCAGTCCCGGATTGTTCATGTCGTTGACCAGCGCCGCATGCGGATGCATCTGCAGATGCAGCTGCTGTGAGCCGTGCAGCGACGGCGGCTGCGCATGGCCAGCGCTCAGCTTGCGCGCCTGCTGCTGCAGATGATCCTCCTCGGCGGTGTAGGGAAAGTGATAGCCATTCTTATCGGAGCCCTCCGAAAGGCGGTCTGCCTGCTGCTGCTGCTGTTGCTGCTGCTGCTGCTGCTGCTGCTGCTGATGGTAGTCGTTCTTGAGCAGCGAATGCACGGAGTGCAGCGAGTCTGTGGCAAAGGCCGGCTGACGCTTCAGGCTGTAGTGGCCATCGCGTGAGCCATAGATGTCCGGCGTTATGCGATCCTTGGATAGGTAGGGCGATTCGGACTTGGCGCCCAAATAGCCGCTGCCCAGCGTGCGCTGCTTGTCGTAGATGTTGTCGCTCAAGTAGGCCGCATCCGGATGGAAGCTGCGCAAATGGCCAATTGTCTGAGAGCCGCTCGCCCCGGCACCACCAGCGCCCGGATAGTCCTTCTCGCTGCCGTAGTGACTCGGCGGCTTGTACGAGCCGTACTTGTCCGCATAGTCGTTGCGTCGCCCGTACAGGCTGTCCTCGTAGCCGTCGCGTGCGTCGCGTATGTTCTCCAGTATTGAGGGCGTCATGTTAATCTTGTTGTGATGCTGCTGCATGTAGCTGGTGTCGGTGAGATCGGGATTGGGCAGCGGATTCGGCGATATGGTCATCTTCTGGCCATGCACATGCTCGTTGTCCGAGCCGGTGTCCTGCGACCAGCGTCCAATATTTGGCGGCGACTGCAGATACGCGTCGGGCAGCTGGCTGGACCAGCGCGGGGCATAGACCGGCTTGTTGACGCTGGGGAACAGCTGTGGACTCTGCACCACATTCAGCTCGGGCGGCGTGGTGGCCTGCACATGCTCCGTTATGTTCGGCAAGTAGGCGGGCGTGGAGCTAACGGCCGTGCTGCGATGCGTGCCCGAAGAGCGCGCCGTGCGAGATTCGTCATCGTCGCTGGAGTGACTGGAGGCCAGCTCCAGGGAGCGTCCATCCGTTTCGGAGCCCGAATCGGAGTCCTTGCGCTGGCGGCGCGTCTTCTCCTCGCTGCGCGTGCGTCCCGTGGTGGACGACTCGAAGCCACGCAGAAAACTGGGCGCATCGCTGGCCGAGTTGTAGTTCGAGGTGGATGTCGACGTCTGCCTTAGCTGGCCATCGCTGTACGGACTGGAGCTGGTCTTGGCAGTGCTGCGCGATGTGGTGCTCGAGGCGCTGATGCCAATATTACGCCGCGCCGTATCATAGTTGCCCGCCAGAAAATTGCTGGGCCTGGCCGCTCCGTTCACATTGTGCGAACTGTTGCTAACCACCATGGAGGAGTCCAGCAGCGGCACCTTGCGGCCCATGCAGCGCAGGCAGGTGCGTTGCAGATTCTCGCGCACGCGCTTATTGATGATGCAGTAGCCAATCAGGCAGAAGAGCGCGTGCAGCAGCACCACGCCGGAGAGCAACAGGCTTAGCAGCTGCGAGTGCTCCGAGGCGGCCAGCACTGCCAGCACCCACATGACGCCCATCAGAGGCAGCGACACCACCGACAGCCAGAGCAGAGTGCGCAGATTGCCAAAGCCGAGCACATGATCCTTCAGCGTAAAGGCCGCCTTCACCGACACAAAGAGTATGAGCAGATTCACCACCGACATGCCAGCTATGGGCCCCACCAGCCACCAGACGACGGGTTCGTAGACGGACAACCAGCAGCTGCAAGAGGAAGGTGACAGGTTTGAGTTGAATGCAAATACGAATTGAAGGGGCAACCACAGGCTAAGGTTACTTCCATTGAGAATTGCATAGAAAGGCGTTTAAAGGAAAACTCTTTTGTGAGCTAGACTCTAGGCGGGAAGGACAGTAAGGCAAGTTCCTTTAAATACTTACAATAAACTATTTCCGTATTCGTGTGCTCGCACCCCGACGGATAGGCCGACGACGACAGCTGGCGCACCGTAGCCCATGGCAAAGTAGAAGCCCATGGGACCATGATTGATATCCCGCATTTCAGTCAGCATGCGATAGAGATGCACACAGTCGACCGTTGTCCAGCCGAATGCGGCCAGCCAGAAGTAGTGCAGGCAGATGGCAATCAGCTTGCAGGGGAACTCGTTCTCCAACAGGTTACGCCTCGACTGCATGCCCACAAAGAAGAGCAGCTCGGCGCAGAAGACGCAGAGCACAATGTTCTGGTGGATGGTGTTCGAGTTTGTCTGCTGGCCGCGCAGCAGGGCCAAGGCGAGCAGGACGCCCAGCAACAGGGGCAGCGATACCATGAAAGCCGAGTACGAGGTGATCTGCACGAGCAGCGAGGGCTCGGGTATGTCCTCCGGATCAATGATGTCCACGATGACCGCATAGTTGGAGATGTGCGTGCAGCTGCAGTTGATCAAGATGGGCAGGTGCGAGACCTGCGCGAAGTCGCCGTCGAAGTCGGGAATTTCGGTCTGACAGCCGAGTCGCGTCCACTGATTGGTGAAGGAGTTCCAGCGCACACACTGAGGATTCGAGCGCGGTCCGAAGCGTGTCGCGTCCATGTCCAGCCACATTTGCAGCTTGATGGGCTGCGAGAGATGCGGCGAGCCCAGCGAACGATAAACCATGTGCTGTGGCTTCTGCAGCTGCTCCGAGGGATAGATCACCTCCACCTGGCGCTTGACCAGACGACGATCCCGATAGATGGCTTCGTTCTCGCCCTTGGACTGCTCGCTGCTGTCCGGACTGCCTTCGTAGTTGGGATTCAGCTGCTCGGGTGAGTCAACGCTTATTTCCTCGCCGGAATTGCCATGGAACTCGATGTCGTCGAGATTGAGCCGTATGTGCGGACTGTCCACTTCGGCAGCTTCGTTGCTGTTGGTCTCCTCTTGCTCCGCAGATGCTGGCGGCGGTATCTCATGGGCTGTGATGCGTATATCCTCGATTTGCTGTTCGCTGCTGCTGCTCGGCGCTTTGGGCACATCGAAGACCTCGACAAACTGTTGCTCCGTGCTGCTCGAGCTGCGTATTATGGTTGAGCCTCCAGCAGCCGATGCGGACGTGCCGGACGTGCCGGACGCAGCCGTTGCCGAGGAGATTTTGCGCGAGGGTATCTCCAGGCGTTGCTGCTCCCGCTCCGCTGATGGCACCAGTATCTGCAGCGACAAGATGGGCGTGGCCAGCTCTACATCGACGCCCCAGCGACGTGTAATGGTCTCGTCATACAGATCCGGCAGCAGCTGACCCACATCCTTGTACTGGGCATAGGCGACAATGGCGCGATAATCGTTGCCCCGACTGCCCTGAGTTACCTCGTCGCTCTCCGGCGGCGTTATGCCCAGCATCTCGAGCGGCACAAGCACCTTGGAGTGCTTGTCGAACTTGTGCTTGTCCAGTATGTAGTTGTTGTACTTGGGAAAGCTGATGACGGGCTTCTGCTTGGCCGAGTGCTGCAGGAAGCCACTGGTGTCGGGCAGCACCACGCTTTCCGTGGTGAAGGCGTTCGGCTTGAGGTACTTGGCCTTGTGGTACTCGCTCAGCTGTTCCGGCTCATAGCCGAAGAGGGACTCGGTGGTCACGATGTCCAGGCCCAGCACCATATTCCGTTGCACAATCTCAAAGGGATTCGTGTAGGTGTCGTGCTGCGAGCGTGCCAGGACGACCATGTACTTGTTGAAGGCATCCACCAGGTCGTCGGGACCGCGCTGTATCAGCTCCGTGGCGCGCTTCCATTCGGCGTCGTATTTGCGATCCAGTATAACGCTCGCCGAGTCGACCAGATTTTTGATGAAGTACTTGTCCTGGCTGTGCGTCAAGTTGAGTCCGCTCTGCATTAGCTCGTAGTTAATCAGCTCCTGCAGTATGCCCTCCGTGACCAACAGATCGGCGCCGTAGAGACGATCGTGCGAGAACTTCAACTCATCGGACAGATAGTCCATGTCCAGCTCATGCGACCAGACAGCGCCGCCTGCATTCAGCAGGAAAGACGACTCCATTTTGTATCTCCTGTTGTGCTTGGGCGCTGCTGGCTTGCTGACAGCGCTGCGATCCACCGCCTCACAGGCGTGCTGCAGCTGCTCAGCCATTTTGATGGCCACGAACGAGTTGAGCTCTAGCTCCAGTTTCTCCAGCTGCGACAGCTGGCGGCGCAGCTCGACGAACGGCTCCGAGGTGCAGTTGTACATGTCCGGCACGCTCCAGCTGCCCGTCTGGCTGTCGCAGCTGCGCTGGCCCTTGCCACGCGCCGGCAGCGGACAGCTCTCGACTGTGGTGCTGCCCAGCGGAGTGCGTGGCCACCAAATGCCAGCGGCAAACGAGCGCGGACAGGCATCGTAGACCACTTCGCAGCCGTTGAGCGTTACCTCTGCGTATGGGTTGGAGCAGGAGTCGCAGCGACGTCCGATGACGCCCTCGCGACACTCACACTGACCCGTCAGCCGATTGCAGGCGCTGTTGAAGCTGCCAATCGAGTAGCAGTCGCAGGCCAGGCAGGCCGTCTCGTTGGGCGGCTGATAGTGATTCGTCTTGCAGTAGCACTGGCCCGTCGTCTTGTTGCAGTCCGGATGGTAGCCCTGCTTGATGTTGCACTTGCAGGGGCCGCAGACGCGCTCGCCCCACCAGCCGCCCGGGCAGGGCTGTTGCAGGGTTCTTTCGCAGTACTCGCCGTGCTGGTAGGTGCTGTTGCACTCGCAGTTGTAGCCGCGCGAGAGGCTGGCGTTAGCTCTGCAGACGCCCGCGGCGCACGGCTGCACCGTGCAGATGGGCGCACAGTCGGGACCAACGTAGCCGGCGCTGCACTCGCAGGTGGCACGATCCCAGCCGGTGGCGCAGCTCGAGTGGGCCGGACAGCTGCTGGGGCATTGGGCGCGCGACTCGCAGCCATCTTCGACGTTTTCGCGTATGGTGGGCCGTGAGAGCACCGCTTGACTCGCACCGATGCGCACATCCTGCAAGCAGCCCTCGAAGGGCACGGCATCCTGGACGGCGCCAATGGTGCCATCGACGCTGCCCATAACTATTTTGCCCACATAGAGTCCTTGCACCTTCTGCGACATGGGCACCGAGCCGCTGCGCTGGCCATAGTCCACAGAGAATTGTATTTCCGAGCCTTGCTGCCACTTGATTTCCACGCGATGCCATTCGCCGTCCGAGAGGTAAGCGCCGGCTAGGTACATGGGCTCATTGTCGTAGACGTAGTAGAGCACGCCGTGCTTCAGGCAGATGACGGCCGAGCTGTTTTGGCCAATCTGTATCTGCATGAGGAACGCGTCCTCCTGGCGCGTGCGCAGCGAAAACGCCGTCAGCCACGGCAGCTGTATGGGACGCAGCAGTGGATTGAAGCTCAGGCTGCCATCACCGGAGAAGCGCCAGGGCGCGGGTATATTGTCCTGGCAATTGTTGCCGGCATAGCCCTCGGGGCACTCGCAGGTGTAGATGCCCCAGCCCTCGCGACAGCTGCCGCCATTGAAGCACGGCACCGAGGCGCACAGCGGCGACTTCTGCGGACAGCCGGAAATGGTGCCATTGTCCGCGACATACGAATTCAGATCCACGAAGCGATCGTCGATGCGCAGATCCGAAATGCAGCCGACATAATCACGATTCGCCACTGGAAAGTGGGCGGGTATGCGCGGCAAGCCGCCCACCTGCAACGGACCGGTTAGGTCCAGGAAACGATGACAGGTCTCGGTGAGCAGCGCACAGCGCTTGTCCAGTCGCAGTGTGGTCTGATTGGCGCAGTTCCAAGGCGCGCTCAGCTGCCCCGACAACGCAATGGCCGTGTCGCACTTGTCCAGGACGAGGGTCACCGTGCGATTAAAGTAGACGATTTCCACCTCGTGCCAGTGGCCGTCGGATACCTTTGAGGGCTGGACGAGACCCACGCGCTCGCTGCGATCACCCAGCGAGAAGGAGAAGCTGATGTGTCCATCGAGCAGCTCCAATGCAATAAAGTCGTGCAGCTCGTTGTAGCGTCCATTGTAGAGCAAGAGTCCATTGTCCTGCACCGTGGCGAAGCGCAGCTTGAGATTGAAGCGATGGCGCTGCTTGAGGCTCTCGAAGGTAAGGAAGGAGTTGCGCGAGAACGAACGCGCCCGCAGCTCACACGTTGCCGTGTAGGGCGGCGGCTGGGAGCTGAGATAGTTGTTCATGCAGGACAAGCCACCCTCGCAGGCTTCCGAGTTGCAGGGACGCAGCTTGTTGATGCTCGTCTCGCAGTTGGCACCGGTGTGCGTGTCGAGGCAGACGCAGGTGTAGCCGCCCTCGCGCCGCACACAGCTGCCGCCGTTCTGACAGGGATCCGAATAGCAGAGATCCACTTCGGTGTCGCACAGATAGTGCTCCTTGCTGCCCGTAAAGCCCTCCGGGCAGGAGCAGGCAAATGTATTCACTGGATAGATGGGTCTAAAGAGCACCGTATCGCTGTGTATGAACTCCGAGGCATTGCCGAACTTCAGCACCGTGAGGCACTCTTCAAAGTTGAGACAGGGCTCGCGCACGCAGAGATTATCATCGAAGGGCAGCACCTCGACGGTGGCCAGGCGAGCGAGAATGGCGCGATTGAGATAAACGCGCTCCTGCAGATACTGCGGCGTATAGTACTCCTCGTGCGAGACATCTGGCCGCTTGGCCGAGAAGCTAACGTTGAGTATGCGCGAGGTGACGTCCGTGTCGTCCTGTATGCTAAAGATGAAGATGCTCTCCTTGGGACAGGGTATTATGGCCGCCAGGCCGTCGAGGAAGAAGTTCAGCAGGGGCGACAGAAACGCCTCCTCCGTCATCTCGTTCAGACGCACCGTCACTGAGTTGAACAACATGTCCTCTGTGATCAAGCGGACGGACAGCTGCATGATGGCCTTCGCCTCGTTAATGCCGTCCGATACGGACACCTCCATTGTGGCAAATTTGGGCACATTTGTGTTCAGCTGAGGACTGAGAATCAAGCCACCTGAGCTGCTATTGAGGCGTAAGAGATTCGCATTGTTGCCGGACAGAATGCGATAGTTCAGCTTATCGCTGACGTCCGCATCGAAGGCGGGAATGCGTCCGATCTCGCCGCTGGGAAAATGATCCCTGAAGTTATTGAAGATCACCTGAAAGTCGCGCAGTTCCGGCGCATTATCGTTCACATCCGTGACCAGAATCTCAATGTGTGCATCATTACGCAAGGGCGGGCTGGCTGCTCGCACCACCAGCTCGAAGCGTTTGCGTGACGATTCATAGTCCAATTCCGTCATGGTCAGCAGCTGGGCACGCTCCGAGCCGGGTCGAGTGACCAGCGAAAACGAATTGGAATCGTCGCCGCCAATAATGGAATAGTGAACCACCGCATTGACGCCCTCATCTGGATCGTGTGCGTGTATCTCACCCACCACGGAGCCCACGGGCGAGTTCTCCGGCACATAGAGCGTTATCTTATCGGAGGCAAATGTGGGAGGTGAATCGTTGACATCCTCCAGCCGGATTTGCACCTCCACAGTGGAGGAGAGCGGCGGTGATCCTTTGTCCACGGCTATGGCAGTCAGATGGTAGGTGGCCACGCTCTCTCGATCCAGCCCCTTGTTGGTGCGTATTGTGCCCGATGTGGGATCAATAACGAAGGAGCCATCCTCCACGTCACGATCGCTGAGCAGATACTTGATGCGTCCATTCAAGCCGATATCCGGATCGCTGGCCGACACCTGTATCACGGAGGTGCCCACCAGCGCATCTTCCAGTATGGAGGACTGGTAAAGGGGATTCTTAAAGGCCGGCGCATTGTCATTCACATCCGTGACGCTAATCTCGACGTCCGTGGTGTCGCTCAGCGAGGGATTGCCGCCATCCTTAGCGGTGACTGTGAGCAGATATCCGCTCGTGGTTTCTCTGTCCAACTGGGCACTGGTTATAATGGCGCCAGTTTGTGGATTGATCGTAAACGGATCCGGGCTGCTCAGTCCGTTGATGCTCTCCTCGTTCAGCGAGTAGGTAATCTGTGCATTGATGCCCACATCGCTGTCGGTGGCCGAAACCACAAGCACAGTGGTGCCCACTGGCGCGTCCTCGAACACCGGAGCGCTGTACGGCGCATTCTCAAAGATGGGCGCAAAGTTGTTTGCATCCGTGATGTTGATGTGGACTGTGGCCGTGTCGGAGCGTCCGCCCGAGTCTGTGGCGGTCACCGTGAGCAAGAAGCGTTTCTCCTGTTTGTAGTCGAGTGGCTGGGCGATGGTGATCAGGCCACGGCCATTCTGCGAGGTGATGGCGAAGCGTCCACGAGTATTTCCCGTGCTAATCTCGTAGTGCAGGCGCGAATCTTCGTCAGGATCGGTGGCCGTAACCGTTGTCACTGGCGTGCCTGGCGGCTGATCCTCACCCACATTGGCTTCGTAGTATTTGGGATTAAAGCTGGGATCATTGTCATTCACATCCTGGACGGTGATCACCACCGAGGAGCTGGCCGACTTGGGCGGCACGCCGCCATCCTTGGCCACCACCTGAAAGGCGAAGCGACTCTGCTCCTCGCGATCCAGCGGCTTGATGGTCTGCACCCAACCAGTGCGCGCATCAACAGCCAATGGAAAGTTGTCATCGCGCTCTGAAATGCTGTAGCTGATCTCTGCGTTGGCGCCCTCATCGGAATCGTAGGCCTGCACCCTGATGATGTTGTAGCCAACGGGCACGTTCTCCAGCACGCTCTCCTGGAACTGCGAGGTGTAGAAGCGCGGCGCATTGTCATTGGCATCGATCACATTGACCAATAGTTGGGTGGTATTGCTGCGCGAAGGACTGCCGCCGTCCTGGGCACGTATGACCAGGCGATAGCTTCTCACGCTCTCGTAGTCCAGCGGCTTCACCAGGCTCACGTCGCCGCTCATGGAGTCTATGGAGAACTGGGACTGCGTGTTGCCGCCGATGATGGCATAACGAATTGCCGCATTGTTGCCCTGATCTGCGTCGGTGGCCCGGATGTGGGCCACGTTGTTGTCGTCGCCCCACTGATCCTCGGGCACCTGGACGGTGTAGGTGCGTTCGCTGAACTGCGGATAGTTGTCATTGTCATCCAGGATTTTTACCAGCACACTGGCCGTCGCCGTCTTGCGTTCGCTCTGCGCCGCGGCCATATCCGAGGCGGTTACGAGCAAATGATAGCTGTCGGACGTCTCGCGATCGAGGCTGCTGCGCGTGGAGATGACGCCGGAGCGCGAATCGATGCGAAAGATGGGCAGCTCCTGATCCTGTGCAGCACCTAAGCCATCTAGTGAAGAGAGAGTGTAAGGATGGGACTGGCTAAGGGCATCGGGTAGCTAGGTACTCACCTGTGACCGCCTCAATGCCATATTCGATCTCCGCGTTCTTGCCGATATCCTGATCTGTGGCACGCAGCGTTATCACTGTGGAGCCCACAGTGGCGCCTTCGCGTATGCTCGCCTCGAACTGCTCCGCCTCGAAGGTGGGACTGTGATCATTGCAGTCGAGTACGTTCACCTGGAGCGTGGTGGTGCCGCTGCGCGGAGGAAAGCTGTCGTCTGTGGCCACCACGCGAAAGTAATGCACATCCATGAGCTCTCGATCGAGGCTGGCCGATGTCGTGACGACGCCTGTGCGCGAGTCCACCTTGAAGAGCGACTGCGAGCGTGAGTCCAGCAGCGAGACCATGGAATAGACAACAGGCGAATCCTCGGGATCACGCGCCCGCACAGTGGTAACAGCGGCGCCTGCGGGCTGCTCCTCGAGCACAGAGGCCACGTAGAGCGCCTGCTCGAAGTAGGGCGATTGATTCCGCAGCTCGCGCCGCACGCGCTTCGCAATGTCGGTGTCATTGAACTCCTGATGATGATAGACGATCTTCAGGCGATGATCGGAGTCGACAATATCGTTGCGATTGCAGCGTATGTTAAAGGTGATGCTGACCTTCCACATGGACTCGTGTATGCAGACATCGCGACTGGCCACCAGATCGCGATTCTGATGCTCAATCGCAAAGCGCTCGTCGTTCACATCCAGGAAGTTCACCTTGCAGTTCTGGCACACAGATTTCGGGAGGAACGCGTTCAGGTTGTTGATGAACTGCGATTTGCGCAAACAGATCTGATTCCACTTGTCGGTCGTGTGTATGGCATAGGAGGCGTATGTCTCGGATATCCATTGCTTGGCGTCCGTGATGCGTCTGTGCAGCGCCGGCTGCAGCTGGAGCGGATCTGTGGCGATGCCACGACGCTTGCGGCTGAGTATGCGATGCCGCATCTCGTTGTCGAAGCTATTGCCGAAGATCAGATCGCCAGCACGAAAATCTGTGCTGTTCCGGCTGTAGGCCAGCTCCAGCTGATTGCCGTCGAGTAGCGCCAGCTGCTGGGTGCTGCGACGTCTGCGTCGCTTCGAATAGCCCGTGTTGTCCTCCTCCTCGAAGTGATGCAGATGGTGTAGCTCCTGCTCGATGCGTCGATCCTCATTGCAGCTGTGGCCCGATATGAAAATGCGCACCGGCAGGCTGTAGTAGTCGATCGAACGCAGGCGATTCGATGTGGAGTCCACATAGAAGGTAAACAGATTTGGATAGTAGATGCCGTCGCACTTGAGCGACTTTTTCAGCTGGATTTGGCCATCCTTGTGGCTGACCGAGACTAGATGATGCACAAAGTTCGCCGACTTGTGTGCATTGATTTTGTAATGTCGCTCCGAGCCGAGCTTATAGACGGACGCATTAAAGATGACTGCGCCCGGCGGCGTTTCCTCATGCACAATGATTAGGTAGCCCGAGATGTGGACCACGTGTAGCAACAGCAGAAGCCACCAAGGAATCGACTTTGTTTGCATGGCAACTGCACTTGATTATACTTCTTGTTGATATCCGTAGAGAGGTCTGTGCACCTCAGTCTGAGTGTGTATGTGTGTGTGAGTGTGTGTGTGTGGCTTGAATGGCAAACAAACCACAGCGCAATTAATGCCTCTATTCAATTATCATTGGTGCGCTGCATTGCCTGTGCGGAGCAAAAAAGAGCAGAGTGAAAGCAAGTTAGCAATTGATTTGTATAAATGAACATCCAGACTTCCATACTCATACAGTTGCTCGTGTACAAGCCATAAATTAAATCAGCGCCCAAAAGTAGGCAACAGTTTTCAACACACGCACACCAGCCGAATATGACGCATACGCCCCGTTGTCAAACGTTGCCAGCGAGCCGAATCTGTCACAGCTGCTGACAGCTTCAATGCTGGCTTTTGGCTTAATTAAACACGAACGCAAGTCTACAAAATGCAAGTAAGTGACTAGCAGATACCCTTTCTCACATATATATATATATTATAATCTATATAGAAGCATATATTTATTTCTTATTCAATTAATTGTAGCAAACTTTGTCAGCTAAACAACTCTGAATATTTTTCATAGCTTAGCCTAGTGTATTCAGATTTCATATTTAGAGGGTATTAAAATCCTTTTGTTTACTGTTTGCTCGCACAAATTTATGTTGACAGCTCTGCAAGCGCAGGACATGGGAACAAAGGACAAAGAGTTTTTAATTTCATTTTGTCGTTCATATGAAAGCGAACAAGTTGAAACACAAAACTTTTCATTTTGCAGCTTGAAAAATTTGATTTTACCAATTTTTGTCAACCATCCCACGCCCCCACGCCCCTGGCTCTGGCTCTGGCTCTGGCTCTGGCTCTGGCTCTGGCTCTAGCTCTTTATACTTTTGAAGTATTTTTCAGAGTCCCGGCACTGAAATACAGCTTAATCAGATAACACAGCACACAGCACAAAGCAGGCAACAAAGCGCCGCAGGTTTGTGTGCGTGCATTCCAACAGCTCAGCAGCTCAAATAACCGAATGTCACACAGAGCTCCATTATCAACTAAGTTTTTGAAAATTTAATGAAATTCGATTTGGGCAGAGAGCAGCGGATCGCTAATGCGCATTGCCGAGCTCATTTACGAGCTAATTAACAGCGCACAAGCATGCACACATTGACCAACACTGGTCGAGTGTCGACAGGGCCAACCCCACCTCAAAAGGGTGCCAAGGGGCAACAGTGGCTGTGGGGCGGAGTTGGATAATGAATAATTCCATATAAGAGCTCGAGTGTTCAATTTCAATTTCATGCCCTTAACGAGCAACTGGCCTTTATTTCGGCCCACACAGAGTCACACAAGTTTTCCCACGTTGCGCATACGCCCCGTTGCGCCTCACTGCAAACGAAACGCTGCAGTTCAGCTAGCAGAAATTTATGCTTGCCCCTAAAGGAGGCACATGCCCCCTCTTCGCTCGGCACTCTCTGTGGGCTTTCGTTAAGCTCACTTTTAATTGCAGTGTTAACATGTTTAATTAAAATTTCAGCTTGAACGCGCAGCGAGCGCGCGCGCTTTATGAAAAATGCAAAGTCGAGACGGCTGCCAGACATGAGGCGCTTTGTTGTTATTGTTGTGGCTGCCATGTGTGTGTGTGTGTGTGCCACGATTGGTAGTCAACGAGCGTGCGCCCAACTAAAAGCGCGCTCTTTTCATGCTACGTCAAGCTTGAAACAGAAACAAAAAAGAAGCGAAATAATATATGAAGACTGCAGCGTGGCACCAAAAGTCAACAACGTGAAATTATGAAATTTTCACACGCTGACAACAACTAACAACAACAACAACAACAACAACAACAACAATAAAACGTAGCAAAAATTTGATTAACCTGATTTGAGCCAGACGAAGATTAGTTGCTCTGCATTATGGAAGAAAATCAATGGAAAAAAAATTGAAGCTAAAACTTGACTTTGATATGTGCGTATGAATAAGCAAAGCTGAAGCTAACTGGTTGTATTTACACTGAAAAAAACTGTTTGTGTATATGTTTTAATAAGCATGAATTGAGCTAGGCATTGTTGAGGCACTTTCCCATTAGAAACGAAGTTAACTGCAGGCGAAACTTTGGTTGGATTAAGAGAGCTGAGGCTAAGTAGACTTAGATACACTGGGAAAAGTACGTCATTCATTTATATAAAATATCTAAGCTAGTCTTAAAGAAATATAAATTAAAGTAAGTCAAAATAAAGGCTAACTAATAGACATATATAGCATTTAGTATATGTAACTAAAAGCAGGCTCAGGTTAGAGAGCAAAAGCTATGAGAGTTCGGACTACATGAACATTATTGCTTCCCATTTTAGAAGAGTTATTTGACACATGTAAGCTGCACATAATAGCTGATACAGCTTAATATACACTGAGAAAAATATTCTTTTTCATTTATATTTTAATCTGTCATTTTATTATGGCAGCAAAATATCATAAAAATTTATAGAGTATAAATGAAAGCTGCAAGCTAACTGAGACTGTAACATATATAATATATATATGCAAGGCTAAGGTGCATACATTTATGCACTAAGCTGCTAAATACCCTGTAAAATATGTAGAAATATATATAAAAATCAACGACATGTGTCGAATGCGCTCAGCTGTGAAAATGTTAAGGAGCCGCTTGCAAAATTCTTAATGCATAACGTTCAGTAGAGACAGTAGTTGTTGCTGCTGCTGCTGCTGTCGTTGTTGCTGCGGTTCATGCTACTACTGTGTTACACACAGTTTGGCGCAAACTATTTGCAGAGAACATTTTATCGCGGCTGTTGCGGAACTAATTAATGTTTTATACAAAAGTGTGAGACAGAGTGTATGTGTGGCAGTGTTGCAAAGTGTGTTGCCTAGTTTTCGACATAAATTACAATTTGAAGCGCAGCTCCCGTTTTGGCACTTTGGATGCATAATTAATGAACGCAACTGACGCAGCGCTAATTAACAATGCGCCAAGGCGATGGCAAAAGCGAATTACGGCTTGTCTCAAGGAGCAGCGAGTAGGGAGCCCCAGCCTAAGGCGCATATTGTAGAAATCGAGCTAATGCGGCACAGCCGATATCATGATATATATATGGCTTCGACTGAGCGCTAAAATGGCGTCACTGCTGAAAACCTATCAACAGACACGCTCACACGCAGGCAGCTCAAAATGAGCTGTCAAATTCAGGAAGCCAGCCAAAATTTGTCACATGTAACATACACCGGCTGTGTGCGAGTGGGTGTGGGAGTGGGTTATAGTTACTCTAAGGTGTTTACTTGTAGCATTCAGAAAAGGATTGCCAAATGCCACGTCACCCTCGCCATAAACATGCGAATTTTACGAGACAGCGGGAAACTTTTTTAAGTAGCGACATCTTTGCGTTACCTGAAATTATATACGCCCACGCCCACGCCTACTCCCACTCAACCCAACGCTGCTCAACACCAGCCCCAAGTGTCCTGCTCTGAGCCATGTCTTGAAAACTTTTTTGCGTCTCTCTGAACTGATAAAATTTCAGCGCTTTTCAAGCAAAAATGCAAAGCAAACAGCGAACGCTAAAAGAAACCAGAAATAAAGCAAGGCAAAGTCAACGTTAAGCTTGATACAAATTTAATATATACATATATATATATATAGCTGGGTAAGTGGGTGGGCGGGGCGTGGCCCTGTCAACTTGTTTTGTCTTTGAGCTCACAGCTAATGAGCGCCCAACTTTTTCTATATATATATTCTTTTTTGGAAAGTTGTTGTTTTTTTATTTTGTGTAATTTTTAGAGTGTCGAAGGGAGAAGGTAGAAAGGCGTGGCAGACGGCAGAGCAGGAGTCAGAAAATTTTGAAATTTGCTTTGTTCAAGCAGCAGCTGCGGCGAGCGGGAGAGTGGAGTAGCAGCAGCAGCAGAAGCAGAAGCTGTAGCTGTAGCTGTAGCTGGAGCAGGAGGACGGGCAACTGCTTGTTCTGGCTAATGAAAATTGATCAACATTAGGCGTCTCATTATTGTCACTTGGGCAATTTGCTTTGATGACTGTGTTGTTGTTGTTTTAATTAGCTCGCAGCGAACGAAATTGCCAAAGCTTAAATATAATTGGGCCATTGCAGCGAGCACTGCAAATACGCACACAAGCAAATCAATTAGGTGCGGACACACACAATGGGCGTGGCTTGCATAAGCCAACAACCTAACAAACACACAATAAATACTATGCTTGATAATAGTTATAATTAAACAAAGAGCAATTAGCTTAGGCTGAAAGCGGATAAATAGTTGATGTGGTATTAGCGGCTAAGACTCTAAGTGCAGTGTCTGAATTCTATAGAATGAAGTGATTGCTATAGAAATGAATAGAAATGCTGAGAGCTGTCTGAATACTATAGAATGAAGTGATTACTATAGATATGCATAGAAATGCTGAGAGCATTGTAGATGCCAGCATTGCAGATATATATAATTATATATAATTATACAGCATATATATATAGAAAAATATATATACCTTTGAGCTGTGCATTACTCTAGCTCAAAATTCCTTGTCAGATTTCAGAGCAATATATAATTTTTGATTCGGCTGCTGCATGAGTAACAATTGGCATTCAAATGTTTAATCTTCTTACAAATTTTCCATATATGACAAAAATTATTATTGTCAAAATCAAGTCTTAAAAATGGGCATTTATCAAAATCTGACTGTCAGGAATTGGAGTAACTTTCATCACATTATTAAATGATTTTTTTTTCTTAAAGCATATTTTATTTGATTTGAATTTGGATTTTCCCAGCTTTAAGAAACCTTCCAAATATTCACTTAATTTCAAAAATATACTGCTTGAACTTTGCATGCCTCAAATTCAGGTATTCCTTGCCTGATGACAGAGTGCTATAGCATTTTTGACTCGTCTGTTACATATTTTGAAAATTTTCTATATTTGACAAAATTGATTTCTGTCTAAATCGGGCCCAGTCGAAGAAAAGGGGCAATTATCAAAATCTGAGTGGCCATAACAGGGTATTGGACTGCCGTGGATGGCATATCTCTTGAGAAGTCTATTGATTCGAAATGTTGAACTTTACTTATAATTTTTATCAGATTTTCAGAATCTTTTCAAATACTTGATTTAAAAAAAATACGTCTTGAACTTTGCATAACTCTACACTCGTCCTC